TTCTTGCTGTAGAAAGAAAGCTCCAAATACTTCCCAAAAGAATATTTCCAGGTGCTATCTGACATGGGAAAGACTTGTGTTTCGTTGCCGCAAATTTTGCAGCAACTCCACATGAGAATCGTGTCCTGAAGACCTCGTAATTTTGATGGATATGGCTGAACAAATACGCTTATCTGAGCCTCTCCATGTACGTATTGACGGTGATGCTCAAACATCCGCTTCTCACAGCCATTTGCTGTGCAAATGGCGTTTGCATTCTGGCAAATGTCCTCCACATATTGTCCAATGGTACAATCCGGCTCGAATATCGTATCGTCACCGTGCTCGTTATAGTACTCCAGAGCGAACAAATCAGGGCCGGAGCAGGGGATAGACGTGGTAGTGCAGACCAGACTAAAAAGCACGACTATATTCTGGTGGGCGTATGGGTCGAAGAGACTGGAGGCGCCCGAGATATATGCTTCCCATTGACGCTTTTGGGTCTGATAATGATGCAGGGCGTTGTCGTATTCCGCATCATGAGCCGCATGCAGAACTTCCTTGACCTTTGGAGGAGCATTCTGAGGAGATTGATGAACCATTTCAGGTGTTATGAGAATGAACTTTTGCGACTTGGCCTTCTCGTCTGAAGCTTGTTCGGAGCTGATGTCCTGATCACGAAGACGCTTCAAATATGCGAGCCTTCGTTCCATTTCTCTAGCACGTTTAAGAAGATAAGGAGGCTCAAACTTCACGAAAGGGGAAGCGGATAGAATCTTCGTCTCAGTGTCTCGCACAATATCTTCATAATAAGTCGGCATGGGAACGTCATCAGGCACTTCTGTGCCATCTGTTGTAATAGTGGCCTTGCTGATAGAAGCAGGATCGCTTTTCTTCTCATCCAATCCTCCTTGAGAACAGGGCTGTACGGTAGCAGACTTGTCATCCAATTTGATCATCGTAGATGATGCCCCGACATTGGCCGCTTCGTCACCAGCATTTGAGGCGTTTTCTTCAATTGACGTGGGGATCTGGGCGAATTCGTCTCTCATCAAGCATGTTTCCAGCCTCAGATTATACACAACGTAGACCATAAACTCCGTTATCCTTTTCACCTTTGCGAGCACATTATGGTCGCCTCCGCGAAGAACAATCGTGCAACCAAGCTCTTTGCGACAACCAGAGATGTACATGTAGGTCTTCTTATGACCGTTGTACACGTATGTCTTGACATCAAAGCTGCCACAATCACTATGCACCGGAGTCGTCACGAGCTTATCCATAGAGGTTATGATCCTAGTTTGAGTACACCGAGAGACGGCTTCAAGCACGGACGATTTGACATTGTAAGCCGTCGCAATGTTGGCTTTTTCTAGCAGTTCAAGTGCCAAGCCAGATACGTTTTTCTCAACCAGAAGTAAGTTAGGCCGCAAAGCAGCTATTCGGCTGACGAGATTTTCGAGGAACTCTCGCTCTTGGCGAATAACGGGCTCTAGGCTCATGAAGTGCTGCTGGTGACGAGCGTATTCAAGAGGGAACGTGATAATTAAGATCCGCGGATGGGGAATGCTTCGAGGCATGCTTTTGAGAGCGAGGTTCTTGGTAAACACTAAGCCGGATACGTAGGACGTGTCACCCGGCCGGCCGCCCAAGATCTTTTTAAGCTTAACATAGTGCCGAATGTCCATGTCGTCGCCGTTCTGGACGGCTGGATCGACTTCATCGGCGGCTTTGAGAAGTATAGGCAGAAGTGCAGTCTCCCAACTGTTAGAGTGAGGCACGGAAGCATCCTTCAGCAGCTGGCGAAGGAGTTTGCGAACATGTTGCAGGCTAGCTTTGTTCAACTCTACCGGGGGAGCGCCCGCTCCTCTCATTGATGAGCTCCTGGTCATCTTGAATCCGCTCGGTGCAACTCCAGTCGGAAAGACATGACCAGAGGCATCATGTGGATTGGACACACTGTCCTTCGAGGCTCTGGGAGAATGGCGGTGGATACTGCTTGCAACGCTAAGATTACGCCGACGGGAAGGACGTGGCAAATTGACAGCTCTCGAGCTGCCGACTTCATCTCCATCACGCGCAGAAGCAATCAAGCTGGCAGCGCTTCGCTCTCCGAAAGCAGACCGACCTTTTTTCATGGCAGCCAAGAGGCCACCAAAAGTCGTCCTTTCGCTGTCGCCTCCACTCTTCGAGAGAGAGCCCTCCGAGACTGCAGATAGCAAACTTGGTTGCTCATCCCCGCTTGATGCATCGTCAGAGAGATATTGCGCTAGGTCTGGGTCGATAATATTATCTTTGTGAAACGCAGGCAATCGAGCTCTCGCGGGGTTGTCTTCCACAGTCCGCCGTTGAAAAGGCGCCCGATCATCGTGGAAAGATTTGAAGTTGCGAATGTATTGTTGGCGAGAGTGATGACGCTTGTGGCCCATTGCGTGCGGGCGTCCATTCAGGGTTGATTTGAGGGATCTTGACGAGGTAGGTCTCACCAAGGGTCGCTCTGGGCTGATTTCAAGCACGGCTGAACGGCGGTTATGGCCTTCCCCTGCGCGTCGTGTTGCTGGTATCGCCATCGTAGGCGTCTTCATAACGTGCTCGATAGATTGAGATATTATAGACGAGGAGTCGTCGTCGTCGGCGGACGTTCGTGAATAATTGCCCAATCCTATATCGGAGAGCCTGGGATTTAACACCATGGGACTCTGTTCGCTATCTGAGAACTCGGAAGAATCGTCATCATGTCCGTTGATCATAGCTTCACAAGGCTTGCAAACTCGGATCGATCCAGGTTGACCGAACCTGTCGCCTGGTATCAAAAGGGTACACTTGGAGTCGAAAATCTGGCCGCACGTCCGACAGTGATGCTTTCGTCGAAATGTGGAGAAGGATTCGCCGCAATGAAAACAATCTTTTGCATTCTCATCGCGCATCCAAAACTCTTTGCTGAGTAGCTTGCTCCTGAGTTGCGATACAACACCATCACCTCCGGCATTTGGACGTTTACTTCGTCCATTATGACCAGGTAAAGAGTCCACAGCGGTATTTATAGGCGCCAAAGGGGGAGGGTCGGCCGCTGCTTCGGTTGAGTGATTTTTGGACGTACCATAGGCCGAGAAGCGGCTTAGGCTGGTCACACCTGGTCTGTACTTGGGTTTATCATTGGAAGGGGCCTTTGATAATGCGTCTAATTTCGGGTTTCCCTCCATCAGCGACAAAGAGGTTGCACCTGTAGATGGACCCTGAGAATTATGCAAAGAGCCAACCCTGTTGCTAGGCAACTGAGAAACACTGGTTGTTCCAGAGCTCGCAGTTACCGAAGCGCGATCGAGGTTGAAAGAGGCGGCGGAGTTCGACCTGATTCTCTCTTGGGCAGGTGACGTCCCCTCGACTTCTCCCTGGGTGGTATGTTTTGTCATTTGCAGCGGTGCAGGCAATGAAGGCTCGGGATCATGTGAAGTACGCCGCTCTAGTCTCTTTGTGCTGTCAGATGGTTGACTTATCAGCTTCGATTTGTTGCTAGAGTCTAATGCGGCATGTCCTTCGTTGGGCGGGTTGTGGGCCATCGCCGACAGTGGTGGTGAGTGCGTTAGTCGCTCACTGAAACCGGACGAACTCATCGAAGGAACATAATGGTTCTCCTCCCTCTCAGTACCCGTAGAGCCCATGGTCTGGAGGCTGCTGGAAGATACATTGACGGAGGTGTTGCTCGAGTAATGCGTGGGTTCCTTGACAGCGCTAACATGAAGTTCAGTAACTGTCGGATCTACGGTTGCTGGATTGCTGGTAGATTTCGGTAAGGGTACGGTAGGAGATTTAAGTGCAGGCGAAGGAGAGACAGAGGCCTTGGAGGATATGCTTGCGGCTTTCGAGGAGAGCTTCGAAGCTTTCCCTGCAGGAAGATCGTGAGTGTTTTGAGAGCTGCCAGGCGTTGGAGATTGCAGCCTAGACCCCTGAGAAGAGCTTGGGTTGAATTGCTGAGCCTGAGCCTCGGCCGTGGGACCTGTCGAATCAGCAGCGGGCTTGGAAACTGAGCGCTCTGATGTTGGACTCTTGATTGCTGGTCCGTCAGGAGCGCCTTTTTCCGACGCCTTCCCAACACCGCTGACAATTTCTCTCATTCCTCCTACAGAAGTTCGAAAACGGCTGTACAACCCACTCAGACCACCTTGCAGTTCCGCTGAAAGATTCTTTTCTTCTGTAGCGGAGGCCGGAACCGGAGGACTAGTGAAATCATTGAATACGGTGAGAGAATCCGACTGATAGGCAGCCGTATGTATCTGGTCAAGGGCTGCATTCAGACTTTCCCGTTCGGCCTGAGTTGAGACGGAGGCTCGTGAACCTCGTCGCCCAAGGGGGAGAAAGATGGATGACGCGGATGGACTTGACGTCCCTTGAGACTGTTGATACGCCATTTGAGTTCCTTTTGTCCAAGCAGCGACGGCACCGTTGTTATACGCTCGAAAGTATGAGACAGCGGTCAGTCTAGCTTAGTATGTGTCAGGTTCCGGAAATTCATGTGTGTGAGCTGCTGCAGAACAGCTCGCTGTGGTCCTGAGGCGCAACAGTGAGTGAAGCCTGTGAGGTAAGCATGGAGCCTGAGCTAGTAGAGTGAGCATCATCTCAGAACGTGGTTTACATCATGAACAGATATGCGACCAAAAGCAAGGATGACTACTTCATCGGAAATGTCAAGTTGAGGGAAGGAAGTTGATTGTTGACTGATGCCGTGTGTCTGTTGCTTTCCAACGATGCGGGCGGAACATGTGCGGTGCTGCCCAATGACGTGGATGTGGCTGAGGCACTTTGTGGCTGGTGCAGATTGCCACTAAAGGTAGGCGGTCCTGCGCGTGGAACCGCGTCAAGCATGAAAGGAATCATAGAGAGGTATTGTCCTGAGTAATAATTGTGAATTGAGTCCAAAAAGACTATGCTCAGTCCATTTTTATACAATGAGAGTACCTGCTCAGGCCTCAGAGTGATCTAATATGTAATGCATTGCATTATTGCAGAACGTCCGTTCCATTCCAGCAACTACTACACGGTACAACCATAAGATCTTGCGGGGACCTTGCAATAATACTTTGACTTAGCCTTCATTTTCCACGGCCTATGATGTTACCTATGATATTTTCAATCATAACCCAATTGCCTAGTTCGCATGATGGCTTCTTCAGACATCTGGATCACTCCTCTGGTTGAACGATTGCTAAACCATTACCTCGACGGGCCAAAGAGCGAAACGTATGTAGAAGATGATGGAAGTAACCTACGTTTCGCAGACAATAGTCCGCATTCGGCTCTGATAGTGGAGGTAAGTAAGCCAAACTCTGTACCTATTGAGCAAGCTTAACTAATTCATATTGCTACTAGTGGACGAAAGACGACAGATCACCCATGCCCAATTTGACGGACACGAATACCCAGATTCAAGCGATCCTTGCCCGAGAGTCGTTAGAAGAATATGGTAGGGACTACCCTGACCAACCGTTGAGCAAGGTTATGCGGGGACATACTATAAACTTATTGGATTTCGAGCTTGTCTTCGAATACACCACCTCAGAGCCCAAGCTTCATCTATACGTCAAGCGTTTCAGCATCGCATGGGACAAAGGCAGGTTCAAGGGGCCGCCACAGGGCAAGATAATCAGAAAGAATCGTGGGGTGTATGACTTGATGCGATCTGCCCTTCAGAGGGCCAAGTCTCGAGAGACTGCCACCACAGATAGTGCGCGAAATGGGAACCACTCCGATGAGTCGATCAAGTCTCAGGACAGCGAGACAGATGGAATGAACGTCTCTCAGAACCAGTTAATGTCCCAGATGCCCCCAAAGCAACCAGTAGAACTCTTTGCTAGTGCCTTTGCCTCTGCGAAGACGCTGTTGGGTTCCTTGAAACCCTCTGCCACGCCGGCGCAAGACTCACAACAAAAGAGAGACAATGATACGAATGTTGTTGCCTCAGGAAGAGATCATCATGCTCTTGACGAAGCAACAAAAGAGCCTAATATCAACCGTTGCGCCGCGCAGATCGATGAGTTGTCCGCAGGTCCCTTGGTTGTTGACCCTGGTCAGAACGGCAATGCAACCGTCAAGGAATCTGATCAAACTGATACCGACACGGCTGGTAAAGTACCAGCCAAGATCGAGAGCGGCAAAGCGCCTTCCAATACTAAGACCCAGGAGAGAGCCTTGACAGATTATAACAAAGAGCCAGACCATGCATTGAATAAAGAGGCAGTCCCCAGCCAGACTGTCCAGAAAAATCATTTGGAACAAGTTGAGCCAGCTGTGGAGACTCCCCTCACAGATGTTCATACCAGCAATGCAGACCCTTGGGATGGTATGACAGAGATTCGAAAAGAAGACATTACTATACCCAAGGATCAGGCAAAGCTGCTGGACGAGCAGGCCAAACTTTGCTGGCTACCGCCAGCCCCTGGCCAGAGCTATCCGCAACCCAACGTGCCCCCTTTGCTCCTACATCAATGGAATGACATTGCGTTGCAAAGAAGTATTCGGGCGGAAGAACGTAGGATCAAGGAGTTGGAGACCTTGGAACTTCACGGAACCCGTCCGAGCTCTTCGGGTGCTACCAGCTCCACTGACTCGGCCTATGAGACCCCAAGCGGCGATCGGATCGAATGGTCTCAGTCTCCTCCGCGGCGTCGGGACCTACCTGCGGACAGTAGCCCGCCCGAGGCAAGACCGGTAGAAAGGCCAACTATGGATAAAAGCAATGGAGGAAATGGTCCGTCGGATCGGCCACCCCATGATGTGGAGGAGGAACGATGGACAGACGTTCATCAGGCAATATCGCATGAACAGGAGGAGCTTCAACCTTTGCTAGAAGGTGCAGAAGAGTCCCACAAATCTGTTGCACTTCCTACCGAATTGCGCGTACAAGCTAGCGGGGAGTCTCTTCCTCAGCATGACGACAGCGACGATCGAATTCACCTGCAAGAGCCCCAGGTTGAGTTTGACCGGATGAGCGAGGACTCGGTAATGGATACGTCTGTCCCTCGTCCGCTGGGTGTAGATCCAAGTCAATCAGAGCAAGAACTTGGCAGCTCAGATCCATCGCTTCCGGGTCAGTCCACTCAGGTTCAAGTGCAGGTCATGGAAACTCCTGCTGCACATCTTGTTCGATTCCGCCAGCTTACTCAAAGCACAGGCGGTGCAAGCCAGGAGTCGCAACAGCCAAGGCAGTCATCGTCCCCAGCCGCAAAATTGTCTTCTCAATCACGAATTTGCAATACCTATCGTAGCAATGATGAGGCGAAGGATCACATTTCTCAGGACATGTCGAATTCAACGCAACTGCATGGGACTGCGGAATCCGGTGAAGTCAATATAATGGAAACTCAGCTGAGCGGTGGGGAGTGGTCATTTCCAGGCCCGACTCCCTCGAATTCTGCTCATCTGTTGAACTCTTCTGGCCCAAGGGACAGTGAGCCGAGTGTATTTATTACTGCATCTCCGGGCCACGCAGAAGAGTCGTCGAACCCATTTTCGTCCTATCGAGAGGCTCACTCTTCTATGCAGACAGACGACGGAAATGGAATATCAACCGGCTTCCCCAGCCCCACTCAAGTTACACCTACTCGGCATCGAGTGCCCCAGTTGAAACGACGCGTATCTGAAATTGACATGGAGCAGACTCCTCCTTCGAAAAGACCAAGGATGGCGTGCAGCGAAGACAGCGACTCTGTCCAAGAGCTTGCGTTCAGCGTGATTTCGCGCCGAGAAACCTACATCAATCGCTCCGCGGAGCACGCTGAGGCACAGAAAGTCTACGAGAAGTTTCGGAGTGACTACCCCGACTACGATGGCGACTTCAACCATTTCGCGATGTTGTGTTCCAAACTGCAGGCACTGCGGGCTAAAGGACATTTCCAAAGGTCGTTCCTCTGGGATGATTTTGTTATAATGCACTTGAAGGAATATGAGCGTTACCTCAACCAAATCGCAGCAGCTGACGTTAAGACACTGGAATATGAGAATTTCTTCGGCTCCTATGTATTGAGGCCATCGTACAAAAAGCGCAGTCTCACAGCGAAGGGTATTGAAATATCTGCTGCGCAGCATGAACCTTCCAGCGCCGCCAGCGTCCCAGCAATCCCGCGGCATGAAACAAACACCTCATTCACCGGCAGCCTTGTAGACAGATTCTCCAACTTCCACACCCGCTCCTTAGGGCCGGAGACTCCAGCCTCACAGTCTGCAACCACGGTTGATCAACTAACATGGAGCACGTCGCCAGCTTCTCTTAGAGAGCCAATTCGCGACTCATCCGCAAGAAGCCGACGCATGGTTGAGGGACCACATGATATGGAAGAACCGAGTCCTACCAAAGTCACCCGTTCACATGATCCTACTCCCAACTCACCGTCCGAAGCGAAGGCTGGTCGGCTCGAGCGACCCGCGCCTAGGCATCGCGACACGTTACAAAGAGGCAACCACATCGTCGAGGAGGAGGAACCACACGATGCGGATGTGACACCTAGAGTCACCCGTTCACATCACGTCCATGAAATTCCGAACCAAACAACCCCTTCACCGGCTAGAAAAGCTCTGGAACTGCAGGTAACCACTGGGGTTCCTCCTTGGCCCGATGTCAATCGCGAAGATGATGACGCGCGCAGCATTCCCGAAACCATCGCCAACAATGACGAAGTCGAGCAGGGCTCAATGGACGAAATCGACGAGAATGCTAGCGTCGAGCTTGGCGAAGACGGACATTCCGCCGCTCCAGCGGCAGATGAGTCCGACGCTGAATCCGACGCAGTAAGCGAGGCCGACAGTTTTGACGAAGACTGGGTAGGGTGGCACTGCCGCCGGCTTCAAAGCACAGGGCCGTTTTGGTCCGACGATCCCAACACGCCATTCAAGGTGTTGGCCCGAGCGGACGCGAACGTGAGGTCCGAGCTACTGCGCCGTGGGATGGCCCGTTTCCCTGTCGACGAGAGAGGAGTCATCCAACCGCTCGTTGACTATCCGCCAATGGTTTCATTGCGCGATTTGCTGGACGGACCTCCTCCCGGTCCTGCGCCTCCATCAGATGAACCGCAAGGTTGAGCCACCAAATTTTTCCTCAGCTCAGTACATCTATATCGGCTTCCGCCCTTTCTGCAAGTTTTCTAAACGACCTTTCCCCCGTCCACACCTACTATGAAACTATCTTTACATACGTTTAATATCTTTTCTCTGGTTTTCAAGGTTTGAGGAGGAACAGTCTCGATGTAGAGTATATACCCCATTGATATCCCAGTGTGGCGTTCAGCGGCAATAGAAGGATGATACCAATCTACACGGAATGGAAAGAGATAGTCATAATCCATGAATTGAAATATAGGGAGGGTATCTATGTCGTAGACATCAATCTATCTCCAGCCTGAAACCATAACCAGGCGCTGTGGCAACAAACAAGCAAATGAAATAACATCGAACCGCCCCGAAGCAATATACAGAGATAAATCCAGAATCCAGCAATATCCATATTTGTACGACATTTCTCCGACTCTAACAAAGAAATGGGTCATCGAGCAGTTCGTTTCGCTAATATCAAAAACGCCAGGATGTCGGTAGTCTTTTCTGTGGTATATATCCGTATCAACCCAAGAGCTGTCTATTGATGAACATGATCAAGTTAGACATGGCGGAAGGGCTCGTAGGCGTTGTTCCTCATATTCTGCATGGGAACCTGGGTACCGCGAGCCGGAGGAGGCGGGTAGGAAGTGTTGCCAAAGGCGGCCGGGGTCTGGTTGGCCTGAGGACCAAGAGGCTCATAGGTATAGGGTGCCTTTTCGGCGGTGACGCCGCGGGTCTTGCTGGAGCCGTGGTAGGGGGAACGACCGGAACAGCAGCATGAGGAGATAATCCAGAAGAGGCTGCCGGCTAGGGAGAAGGCGACGGCCAGCCAGGTGGCGACGTAGATGTTCTTTCCCATGTAGCCCTTGATGCCGTAGTCCTTGAGGGCCTCGTTGAAGGTGCCTTTCAGGACGGTGAAGAGAGCGGTGGCTGTGACGGAGGCGGCGGTGATGAAGAGGAAGGAGACCTTTGCCTTATGTTAGTGACGGGAATATACAGAGATATAAAGGAAGAGAAACGTACAGCTGAGACAAGGCTGGTCACGCAGCTACCCCAGCGGCTGCAGATGGCAAAGAGACCGACCACGAGCTCGACGATGGTCGCGATGAAGGCAACGATGTAGGCGATGAACATCCACTTGGACACGTTCTTGTAGACATTCAAAGCCTTGGACAGATCGTTCGGCAGGACGTCCTCGACACCGGTATTGTTGAGTTGCCAGATTGTGATGGGGTTGAAGTAGAACTCGGCCTTGGGTTTGGAGCAGTTTTGGGTCTTGTAGTTGCCGTTGGTGACATCTCCGTCGCAGTAGCCCCAGAGACCGATATCGTAGAAATCCTTGATCTTGAGTTGTTTTTGTGCCTCGTCGAGGGCCGTGGCCAGGTCGCTACTCGAGACATCGACACCAGCTGATTCGAGAGCGGAGCTTACCGCTGATGTCACTGATGACGAAGTGGTTAGGTTTTGGAGATCGGCCTATTCGGAAAATTAGTCTTGCATGGATTTTGGCTTTTTCCGCTGGATATACATACCCTGAAGAAGTAGAGGTTATTGAGGGTGGATGAACTGGACTTTGTACAGCCCAAGCCGACCATAATAATGCATACTAATGAGGCGATAGTAAGTGCATATGGTGTGAATATGCACGCAATGCGACCGGCTTTGCCCATATTGTGTATTGGTAATGTGGAGATTGCTGACGGTTGTTGGATAGTGGATAGTAGCGTCTTCTTTGTCCGCTTCTTGTTCTAGCGACTCTTAAATCCTTTTGACGGAGACTTCAATGAAAGAAATCTAAGCTTGAAAGTACAATGAAGTTGAAAATGATGAGCCAAGTGAGATGGAAGCATGGATGGTTTTATTATCTGCTCTGCGACGATCTGAACAGCCTCAGGCAACAATATCGCAAATTGTTTGGGAGGCGCAGCCAGTGACAGGATCAGCGAGCCAATCAGACGCAAGAAAAAAACGGCTACGCCACGATGCGTTTCTATAAATTGATCAGCACCAGATTACGTACTCCCCTAAAATCCTGTAACCACCGGGATCTTGTACTAGTGCCTGAGGAAGTTTCCACCGCAACCTGTGGAACCGGCAAATTAGCTGCACTCAAATGCCCAGATGAGGTAAGGGACACGAGTCCTCGTGGCGGGAGCCATACCGCCACGTCATAAACGGTGGCTGGGCTGCTGGCGGAGGATTTTATCGTTCGAATCTCCAGTTTCGTACAGATACCGCCAAGAGAGAAGAAGGGAAATGCAGATACTGACTGTGGACTCTTTACTCTAACGAGTAACAAGATGTTTAGCAAGGTGCTGATGGCCGTCAATTAAACTACATGACCCCTCAGAAACAATCATCTAGACCTTCAAAGTACCTTGACCAGCGTGAATCAGCTGATCTACAATCTGTCTCGCTGTCATTACCTGATGCTTTCGCAATGTAGTAATCTCTACCAATCCAATGGATATGACAATCTCATAGACGGTATAGATGCAGCAGTATTCTTGGCAGATGCTCCCATCAGCTCCCATTGCTCCTGGTAGTCAACGACTTCTAGTTTTTCTGGATCGGTTGTCTATCCGATTGGGGGCTGAGCTGGAGCTCTATTACTGTCCTGTGAGTATACTCAGAGTGTGGGATTTAAACTCAACCGGTCGCGAGCTGGTATTTGCTATTTTTGACCTAGTATGAGGCTATGAGGCTGCGTGGGCGACGGAAAAGCAACGCAAGGGATCTCAAAGGATGGACCTCGATTAGGCTCCTCCATTTCAGTCTTGGCACATATGCATAAGAAGTAGTAGATCGATGAGGTGGATGAAACTCAACTGACTACGCCTCAATTTAGGCATCTTAATTATCTTACAGACCAGATTCTGAAACTACCGGCAGTTCAAGTTCGAAACTAAGTACGACAACTTCTGGAATTAAACTCAAACATGTCTTGAATTAGCCTGGAGCTATTCCATCACAGGAAAATTCGATACATTTAAGCTAGTGGCTGTGAAGCTCCTAGTGTAGTACTGTGGGCCTAGATACATAGTGGACATAGGGCATGCCACAAGGTCGATTCTCGCTTCTACGGCAATAATATACCAGTGGCATCAGACGATCAGTAACTACTACGATCAGATGATACTAAGGAACGCGCGACTAGCGAATTTACATGTAACCGTTGATATCGAGGCGATCCATGCCATTCGACCTCTCTTTCAATACTATGTACAGTGCTCGATTGCTCAACTCACGCCCAGCAACCATCCTGACCATATACACGTCCCTATTCAATTCTCTCAACCCAGGTAGGGCTTCAAGATGTCCAACATGCCTACATAAGCTGCACCGCTCGGAGGCTCCATGCTGTACATATAGTTTCCCCACCAAGGACCAGCCGCCCACCAGAGCGCTCCCTTCCACACGTCCGTGTTCTGAGCCAAGTACTCCAGCATACCTGAAATAGCAGTCCGGCACTGATCATTGACGCCACCAGCGAACTCACCAATGATGCCAACCTTGCCGTTATCCTTAAGCCACTTCGTGGCGGCCGTGACCCGTTCCTTACCAATCGTGGTAGACACGCAATTCTCCGAGGTGCCGGATCCGTCCGAGTCGAGATACTGGTGCATCTCGTAGACGATCTTATCCTGGGGATCGGTCAGAGCCTTCAGGTTGTCATTGACGTCCACCCAGGTCCAGGCGCCGGTCCAGGAGTTGCCCTCCACGAAGATGTATTGCGAGGTGGCTCCCGCGGCGCGGATACCGTTGATGGCGGCCTGGTTGAGGTTCAGAACCAGCGTCTGGTCCATGTCGTGATACTCGTTGTCTAGCATCTCAGGTCAGTGACGCGCCCATATCAACCAAACGAGTTAGCCATACTAGTATCGAAGATGACCAGATTGTTGGACTTGAACTGCCCAGCCAAATTCTGCCAGAAGGTCTTGAAGTCATCGGTGCTGGAGATAATCTGGCCATTGCTGAGCGGAGTTAGATCAAGTTCACAATAAGGTCAGGCGTTTACTCACTATCTGCCATAGTTGTGGGGGTCCAAAATGGCATAAGATCCTGCCTTAGTGACGGCGTCCACAACCTAGCCGAGTTAGTCTCATGCGGTCCAACCTTGCTGCTGCTGCTGCTGCTGCTCAAACCCACCGAAGTCAGATTGGTCAGGTACTCCTCATTGTAAGTGCCTGTCATAGAGCTTGGCACCAGTCTCTCCATGAGGAATTGAATCCGGAAGATGTTCATGCCCTTTCCGATCAATGTGCTGATTGTAGAAGGGTCCGGGAAGATGAACTCTTTTCCCTTGAGGTAGTTAGCAGCAGTATACTTTTGCTTGCCAATCACAACATACATAAGAGCCAGGGATGGTGTTTTGGCCAAACTCGGCTCCAGACTCATTGCTTCCGAACCCTACAGCATGTCAGCATCCCGTCAACCCAACGTTAAAGATTACCAATGAGGGCACCAACATTGGAAAACCGAAGCTCTCTTTGCAGGAGCAGCCACCGCGGAGCCAGCCGCAGCAGCAATGAGCACAAGGTTACCGAACTTCATTATGGCCAGAAGGGAATGTTCTCTAGAAAGGAAAGACCAAGATAAGGAACGACTCAAGCTTGACTTGGTTGCCGAGATTCGAACGAGGGGACAAGACGTGCTATATATCGTCTGGCAAACCGAGCCAGGCTAGCTGGACTAAGCTCTGACACTCCTCTGCAGGACATAATTTGTTAGGATCGCGGGTCATACCCCAGAGGATTCTCCACGGTGTCAGAGTGAGACTAATGGTCCTTCATCGGTCGATTACCGGGATGTCGGGCCGTCACACAAACTGCAAAGCTTCAAGTCATATTCCTGCTAACAGCATATAGCAGCGTGGCAGACTGCGAATCGAGTATTGATCGGCCAAAACCCGACAAGCGAGGCAGAAAGCGAAGCAAGAGCTGGGCGGATGATGCCCAAAGCCTGGAACTAAAGAGTAGAGCGTACTCCGGAGTACATGGCTGCTACAGCATAGTGGATCCAGCAATCCCATGCGGAACCTTGTCTATGATAATCCCACGATTCAGGTACCGTCTTGGCGGCTCCGAAACAAGCCGGAGATTGATTTGTTTGAGGAGAGAGAGACATTCGGCAGTGATCGTCGCCTCAATTGTTCCGGGAAGATAAAGGACAGACGGAACGTCTCCTCAATCATGCCCGTGGCATTCTGGGAAAGAGATTGGCATTCTGATATACAGAAGTCGATTACAGGCAACCTTGAATAAACGTGTAAACTCGCAAGCTTCTTGGTGTGGACCTGAATTGTGCGTGCGATGGGCTTTGGTTGATTATTGGTCCCGATTTGGCTTTACATATATTATCAAGTCGGAGGGGTAATTTACGCAAAGACGAACGCTCAAACGAACAAGACAGCGGAGGAATTGAAACCAGTTCAATATCCGGATTGTTGCCTACACCTTCACACAATGTCTGATTCTTGATCAACAACTATGTTCAGCATTGACGTGTTGGTCCCGAGTCATGGTCTGTGGCATACCCAACTGCAAGACTGGCCAAGCTACGCTATACCAAATCATAGTACGGCTTCAAAATCACCACGCACCAAGGGGTGAAAGACTAGCCTTCATATCCTCAGCCTGGCGCTGATGATACTTCGTCCCAGGATGGTAGTCATTCCACCAGACACACGAAGTGCCGTCTCCATTGATGCAAGTGGCATCTGGGAATCCGTAATCGGTAGGATTGTCGAGAACCTTGGTCATGAACGACCACGAGTCATAAAGCACGGCGATGACCTAAATCTGAGTCAGAAAGACAACCTCAAGGCAGACAAAGTAGCCCCTTACGCCGGTATTGCTAGACTTGAACCTCTCTACCATGGTCGCGAGCTGCTGGTTATAGACAGCCAGATAAGCCGCCGAGTGTTCAATTGCCCAGTCGCCCTGCTGGATGAACATGGGTGTCCGGTTTATCGGGGGAACATTGACAAAGAGGAATTTGCGTCCTCCGGAGTTATAAATGTCCTCTGCGAGGTCTTCAAGTCGACCGATCAGCTGCGGAACAAATGTTGAAGCGTTTGTTCGGTAGTATGCATTCCCGATACTATTCTCAAGTTCAACATCTCACCACAGTCCAGACAAGGGGGAAAGTGAAGCGCCACGTACTCATTGATTCCAATCCAAAATGCAAAAACAGCATCCCCAGAAGTCCACGGTGCAGAAGCCGGCTTGCTGCTATAAGTCGCATCAAACGTCCTCAGTTGCCCAACAAGATCGTTTGCAGTGCTCCCAACGAGCGAGCCATCGATGGTTGCGCCTCCAACCGCGAGGTCGTAGCTCAGGACAAGGCATGCGTTCTCCGCGGTCGTCAGATATCCGACCCAATTCACCCCTCCTGCTGTCGTTCCAGTTCCTGGCGTCATATGAGCAGGATCTTTGGCATCGGAACCATGGGGGTACTGACCTAAGGCAGGATTACCCATGGGATTGGAGGCAGATGGTTGTTCCCCAGACGTGCTGAATCCGGTTTGCGAGTATGAATCGCCACTGCGAGGTCAGCCATACCTGCACGCAGCAGTAAGAACGGCATAGGGAGAGCCTCCTACAATGTAAAGAAGTACGCCGTGTCTGACGCCCGTCTGATGGGGGTTGCAGCACCTGTCGAAATGGCGCTTGCCACCAGCCAGAGCAGTTGAGACTTCATCTTTATGACTATTCTCGACAACGATCAGTAACTTCCACCCTTGAATAAGTTGTCTTCAGGAAGTCTTCATGTATATAAACGGGGACAGTTCTTGTAGTGACTATAAAGATGCTAGAACCCACCAATCCAACGCCATCCTTTGCGCCGAGCACTTTGGCCTCGTCTGTAAAACATCTCATGGTCACCAAGACACCCAGTGAAACGATTGATTCTGCACATCAGCGACTCGGCGGACAAGAATCACTCCAGTGAGACGAGTTACAGAATATCAGCCCCAGACTGCTCTGCATAAATTAAAATGCGGGGTAAATATCCGGCAATAAGGAAGATGCAAGCCATAACTATGACGATCGTCATTAGGTACTTTCTTCATCGCTTGTTAAGGCAAGTTTCAACATGTGCCTTGGCTTGCAGAGATGAAACAGCACATTCGATCATAGGGGACTTGGCTATTCCGCTTTGGTCACGGAAGAACGAGCGAGAACGGAGAAGAGACAGATTGGCAGAAATTGTAGAGGATATTTCTTGTAGGACAGGATCTCTGTTGTATCAATGAGAACAGTTTTGATTCTATGCTGAGGAGGTGTATGGACATCGGCACACAGTGAGAACTGGCCAGCCGTCAGGTATATGTACAAGTAATGAAGCAATTCCTGCTATAACTTTAACCCATCCAAAAGGTTCCAAAGTTGGATTATAAGAATCAGCCATTACGTCGGAAACATAATGGGGGCGTGAAGGTGGCGCTAGTACAGCTGCACGCTGAACAGCTCCATCCCGACGCCACACACCAGCAACTTCGTCCCTGACTCGTCATGCATCAAGTCCAAAGACGATATATCAGCCACGGCGCTGTACTGATCAACTAGATTCTCGACTCGAATGGATTCCGGTCCGCTCTGCGTGGCATCCACCTCCGCACCCCAGACCTTGACTCGGTGGTCGTTGCCCGAGGAGGCGAAAACAACTTGCGCTTTCCCCTGGCTGTCTGACTGCCGCTGTTCAAGTATCTTGATGGTGGTGACGGAGGCGGCATGTGCGTCTGGAATCGTGATCGTGCACACATGATTTCCTGCATCTGCGTTGGCGAAGTCCACCGATAGTAGAGAAAGCGTGAGCGCATTGTCATCCCCTCCAGCGAGAATCAGCGACGTTTTCGCTGATATACGGGCCATCTCCAGGGTTTTGATGCTGTTCGAGTGGATTTGGTACCGGTTCTCGCATGCAATGTTTGGTGGAGAAATAGATATCGCCTCCAATGGTTGCTTCAAGCGCAAAGTCGACGCCGACATCGAGTAGTAAGGCTCTAGAACAGGGTCCAAGTGCCATAATGTAAAGTGACCGTCCGTAGATGCAGTAATGAGCCCGATCGATGAACCATCTACCAGGAACCGTACCTGCGTGAGGCAATTGCTTGTGTAGGCGCCTCGTGCTAGGAGGGTAAAGCGACCCCCATCGACCAAGGAGGAGTAATGGAAAATCTATAACATTAGCAAAAATTGAATACAGAGGCGAGATAAGAAGCTTACCTTGATCGTGGAGTTTGACAATGTCAGGCAAAGAAGAAACCCACCATCAGCGTCTTCTTCCACGTCCAGCACGTCGAAGCTCGTCACTCGCAGCTCGGACGCCGGGTCATCCTTGGGACTAGAGGCTGCGAGAACAGTTGCCAGACCAAACGGGGGAATCTGCCGGACCTTCCAGACAAACAGCTCCTCGAACCCGGCGCTAGAGAAAAGCGTTTTTCCGTCTGTTGACCAGGTAACCTGCTGAACTCCAGCAGTATGGTCTCTAAGAACACGCAGGCATCTGAATGAGCCATATGGAGTCTCGTTGCGCTCCTGAACAGGTGCAAAAATGCGTAAATGGGTATCTTCTGCCCCAGTGGCGATGAGAGTCTCCCGCTCGGGCGTCGAACGAGATACCTCCATCGACTTGATTTCTCTGCCGTGGCCGCCGGCACGTAAGGTACGGTTGATTCCGGCCTGTATGCGAAGAGCATTGAACCCGGATTGACTCCAAAGGAGTATCCCAGCCCCGGGAGTCTCATGGCTCGGGTGGAAGTCCCAAATTCGACGTGCTCCGCCGCAGTCGACTCGGGCCACCGCAGTGTGAGTCGTTTCATTCCAAAGGATAAATTCAGTGCTCTGGAATCCATAAAGCATAAAGTCTCGTGATTTTCGGTCGACATAGATTCCCTCAACGTTCAAGTGCACGGTAGGGGAGGACCGATGGATTGTACGGAGGCGAACATCCGCCCCTCCCAGCGCGTCCAGCTGATGGATGCAGTAATCACCATCTCGGCCACAGGTCATGAAGCAGTCTGATGAAACTTCCGCCTCTTCGAACAGAGTTGAGAACTGGGTGATCTGATTAACGCCCTCTCGACCATGGACTCTCAGAGCACAGATAATCGGCTGCAGAGACGCTCCAGTTTCTGCAAGTCTGTAAACTAGGAGTGCGCCGCTTTTAATTCCAAAGGCCAGATACTGGCTAGAGATCCAGGAAGCGCAGGATACTTCCATACCATGAGGTAAAGCCAATTCTGTCTTGACAACTCTAGGCTCGGCATTCGCTTGCATGGTGACCTGAAAGAGATCTGCTTTTCTAAGTGTTGCGTAGGATGTGGCGAACGTGAGAGTCACCGAGGCTTCTGATGCGTCAGTATCATATCCAAGGAAGTACAATCGCAGAGGTCTGCCATCCGCTTGTACAATTTGGCTCAACAACCCGGTACCGTGAGTATAGAGTCGAATCAAGCCGCGTGCATTGCCAAGCAGCGCCACTCCCTTCTGTGGTAGACTGGAAACTACTGAAAAAGACCGGAGATCGTCCTCAACATGCAGAGTCTCCTTGAAGATGAGTTGTCCTTTACCACTGTCTGTCCGTATCGAACAAAGCTGGATCTCACCTTGGAAAGTAGTCGCAACGAACAACTCCGGTGAGATAAATGCGAAAGCTTTGAACGACCTTTCTCTTGCAGGAACTGTGTTTTGAGAATCGCTTGAGAACATAATGCGATTATCCCTATTCGGTAATGAGATCGACGCCGTATCATCTACGTCTATTTTGAAGCTCCTGACAGAGCCGTCTGCACCTCCAGTGTAGATCGTGGTTTGTGTCCCGGAGCTGCACAAGTCGAGTGACCAGATATGTTTGCCGTTGTGGAGATGGGGAGACGATAACTGAGTCAGTTTGAATTCGGCCTTATGTGTTGGCGACAGACTCCAACTCAGATCCCACAGAATACACTTAGCATCCTCACCACGAGACACAATCGTCAGTTTGCTCTGATTCTCCACCGTGGTGGGCACGAAATGAACACCCCAAATTCGTGCTGAATGCCCGAATGCCTTTGCAACACATGATTCTGAACCAGATCTATCGTCAGCGGTTGCAACGGCACCAAACCCTGTGGTCCGTAGCTCGAAGCCATCTGTCGAGTAGGCAGAAGGATCATGACGGGATGCATGTTCACAGTCCGCGATATCCCATACCCTGACGGTTCTATCATCACTACAGCTAGCCAAAAGCCTTCCCGGTTGCCCTCCCGGTAAGGCGCTGATAGGAGGTGATATGCGAACCCCAAAAATAGAACCTTCGTGGCCAGTGAAAAAGTGATGGATGGAGCCAACTGCGTTGAGCGCCAAGGGTTGACTCTCATCGTCGTCTACAAAACAAGACCAGACTATGATCTCGCCAAAGACGGTTCCGGCAGCAATTAAAATGTGAGAAGACGATAGCGCTATAGTGTCAGCGGAGAAAAGGATGGACTTGATGCCTGTAACCAGTTGCCGTAGGTAAATCGTGTTGACAGAATGAGAATTCTCTACCACATGTAGACTGAGGATGGTGTTATGAGCCGTGACCACATAAGCTCGGTCTGCTCTGCTGCTCTGGTTGGGCGAACATCCAGCGAGAATCCAGTCCGGGGCCAAACATTCCGCAGTTGCAGCCTGCAGAGAAACTTCCACATCTCCAGAAGTATCATTTCTAGCCAGGGACAAGTCAATGGCCCTTAAGGAGCTTCCGCCCCACACCACGAGTCGAGTGTATGGTTTCTCAGCTTCGTGCTGGTGTTGAGTCAGGACAATGAATCCATGGACATTGTTTCTCCTGAAGGTTATGAGCTTTGCCAGTAGCTGCCCACTCTCCTCCTTGACCACTTGGCAATAAGGCCCTTGACCTTGAATAATGAGCCTCGTGTCTCCCAAAACCAGCGCTTTTAGCGCAGTTACGGGGAGGCAGGCATCAATGTGCTGTGTTGCTGGTCAGCACTACGGTGTCAACGGCAGGCCTGATATCCCACTAACCTCGAGCGAGGAATGCATTGATGTCACAGAAAGACATTAGTCTTATCTGCTACAAAATCTAATTCAAGAATCACGCATTGATCAATTCTTCACTCGCCGACTTTTCCCCACGCGGGGACAATAATTCAAAATTCCAGAATTTCTTATCGCATTTGAGGCGATTATGTAAGGCTCCCTTATCGGTATCCTATTCCTGAAGCGGGTTAATGACTCACGTGATATCGCGATCCTCGAAGCTTCATCAGGTGGCGACGCGAAGGAGTTTGTCAACACGAACTGCAATATCTTCAGCAGTTGCGACGTTGTTGGGTTCTCGGCTTGTTCAGTCGTCTGCACCATCACTGGCTGCATATAATGTAAACGTTCTCTACGACTTTTACATCAGCCATGTTACCTTTTGTGCCATATATTTCTTGGCAATAGTACCACTTCAGCTGTCTTGTCAGCATGGGTGTTACGGGCTTGTGGACAGTCGTCCAGCCGTGCGCTCGGCCTATCAAGCTCGAGACGCTTAACAAAAAGCGTCTCGCAGTTGACGCGTCAATCTGGATATACCAGTTCCTCAAAGCCGTACGAGACAAGGAGGGTAATGCGCTACGTAATTCCCATATTGTTGGCTTCTTCCGTCGAATATGCAAGCTGCTGTACTTCGGCATCAAACCGGTGTTTGTTTTTGACGGTGGAGCTCCCGTCTTGAAACGACAGACGATTGCCGGCAGGAAGAAGCGCCGAGAAGGCCGCAGGGAAGATGCAGTGAGAACGGCTGGGAAGCTGCTTGCAGTGCAGATGCAGCGATCCGCAGAGGAGGAAGCAGCCAGGCAAAAAAAGGCAGCTTCGAGACAGGATGAAGAGGAGGTGCCGGACAACCCGGTTTATGTTGAGGAGACCTACTTGACAGAGAAAGAGAAGCGGCAGGGCCGAGCGTTCAGGAAGAAGGATGCGTACCATCTTCCAGACTTGCACGTTTCGTTGGAGGAGATGGGTGCTCCAGACGACCCTCGCATTATGTCCCGCGCCGAGCTGGAAGAATATGCGAGACAGTTCCACCAGGGCGAGGATATCAATCTCTACGACTTTTCCAAAATTGACTTTGATAGCCCTTTCTTCATCAGTTTACCTGCTACTGATCGGTACAATATCCTGAATGCTGCCAGGCTGAGAAGTCGTCTACGTATGGGCTACTCCAAGGAACAATTAGACAAAATGTTCCCAGATCGCATGGCGTTCTCGAAATTTCAGATTGAGCGTGTCAAGGAAAGGAACGATCTCACGCAGCGGTTGATGAATTTGAACGGGATGAACGGTGAAGAAGCATTCTATAACTCAGGGCAGCGAATCGCCGGCGAACGAGGAAGAGAATACGTACTCGTTAAAGACAACGCAGTTGAGGGCGGCTGGGTGCTCGGTGTTGTAGGCAACAAAGGTGAAGGTCATGCCGATAGACCTATTGATGTGGACCGATACGGCCAGGGGGAAGTGATTTTTGACCACGAAGAAGCTTCAGATGGGGATGATGGTGCATTCGAGGACATTCCTATTGAAGGCCTCAACCGACTTCCCAAGCTTAATTTCCCTCAAAAAGACGCATTCCACGAATCGATTGAGAAGCAGATGACCGGTGTTTCTAGAAGGCGCGATTCGTTGTTCCAGGAGACTGAGGATAACTCTCTCTTTGTTCAAGACGGTGACCTAGAAGGTGCACTGCATCATCAGAATCACCACATCGATGACGTCCCTGGCGGCACTGTCGACAGTGAAGATGAAGATCTCCAAAGAGCAATTGCAATGTCTCTGGAGCCTTCCGCTTCTCGTGTCGAAGACATGCCAGATATCCCACTTAACCGCAACGACGTGCCTGCTGCGTCGACAAAGGAGACTTCGCCTGGTCTTGCAGAGAGTGACGATGACGAGATGGACTTTGCCGCTGCATTGGCGCAGTCCCGCAGGACGAAAAGGAAGCCATCCACTTCAGTTCCCCGTCCAGTCATGGACCATCCGTTCGAGGGCCCACTTCCTTTTGAATCTATCAGATTGAAACCGTCCAAGGTGGAGAAGCCTCCACCTGAGGACCTAGACGAGGAAGCGGGTGGGTTTGAAAAAGAGTCCACGAAGAAGGAGGAAAGCTTGCCGCTGCCCCCTTGGTTTTCGGGGAGCAGCTGGATGAAGAATTTGTCGTCGATAAGATTGACAACACCTCATTGGAAGCTTATCGGGATAGAGCGATGACCCCAGACCATCTCTTCCTGAAAGAACATCGATCTCCGGATGTGATAGATGTGGATAAGATGCCAGGACCGGAGGAGGTTATCGACCTGGAAGCAGAACCGAAGACAGAGAAACTCGATACTGCAGTACCTTCAAGTACAGAAAACGCGGAAATACAGTTGGACGATGTTGTAGTACCAACGGTCTCCGATAATGATAAGGCAATAGAGGAAGCGACGTTTGAACGGAAACCTACAGATGGCGAAACCCCCTCGACCGAGACCAAAAAGAATGTTGCACATGACTCACCATCCCCTGAGCCCGAGTTCGAAGATGTTACCATACGGACAGAAGCAAAACCGACAGAGGTCATGGTGACCGGAAACGAGTCTCAGACCTTTGTGGGGAGTGATCAAGCACATGTGGTTGTCGAGGATGACGAAGACTTTTCCGACCCAGAAGACGAAGAGTTGATGCGTCAACTTGCTGCTGAAGGCGAAGAGCACGTTCGATTCGCTGCCACTCTGAACAACAATGCGCTACAAAGCAGCACTTTTGACTACGAGCAGGAGCTCAGGCAGTTGCGATCCCAGCAGAAAAAGGACCGTAGAGATGCAGATGAGGTGACGCAGGTGATGATCACCGAGTGTCAGCAGCTCTTGAGCCTTTTTGGCTTGCCGTATATTACAGCGCCCATGGAAGCCGAGGCTCAATGCGCCGAACTGGTCTCATTAGGCCTGGTCGACGGGATCATCACCGATGACAGCGACATTTTCCTCTTTGGCGGCAATCGTGTTTACAAGAACATGTTCAACCAGGGCAAGTTCGTCGAGTGCTATCTCACCTCAGACATGGAAAAGGAATATGCGCTTCATCGGCGAAAGCTGATCAGCCTCGCGCACCTTCTTGGTAGCGATTACACAGAAGGGATCAGTGGCATCGGACCGGTGACCGCGTTGGAAGTTCTCACCGAGTTTTCCAGCCTAGAGGAGTTTCGTGACTGGTGGACGCAGATTCAGACGGGGATGTACGTCCCCGAGACGCACACAGCTTTCTACAAAAAGTTCAAAAAGACTGCAACCAAGATCTTCATCCCTCCTACTTTTCCCGATCCGCAAGTAGATAAGGCGTACCTCGAGCCCGAGGTCGATTCCGATCCATCACAGTTTCAATGGGGCGTCCCCGACCTACATGGACTCCGAAATTTCCTTATGACCACGATTGGGTGGAGCCAGGAACGCACGGACGAGGTTCTTTTACCAGTCATCCGCGACATGAATCGCAGAGAACAGGAGGGCACTCAATCCAACATCACCAACTTCTTCAGTGGCCCTCAAGGAGCCGGTGCATTCGCGCCACGCGTGCGTTCGGCAGGCCAAAGCAGAATGGAGAAGGCGTTCAGTCGTCTACGGCAGGAAGCTGGAGCGGAGACTCATCAGTCTACATCTACAGGAGAGACAGATACTGGTGCAGATGCCTCTACAGATGATCAAACAACCTCCAGAAACAGTCAAAAGAAAGCCAAGGGAAGGAAGAGACCGCAAGCTAAAGATACCATCACATCTTCTGCTGATGCTGACGGTGAGAGTATGACGCCGAAGAAACAAAAGACACGACGGTCAACGAACAGGTAGATATGGCGGCCCCGGTGGACCAGAAGACCCACTGTTCGTCATGAAGTTGCAGAGTGGAGGATCAACGCGGCCAAGGATCCTGAGAGATCTGAGCGATCCGAATGCGGCGGGTCGATCACCCGAAGCTTCAATCTGTATCATTGGATTTGTCTCAAATTCAAATGAACACAGCCCTAATAATATATGTAAATATCAATTTGTGGCCGGTCTGATCTACACCGTGCATGATAGATTTCGCAGTGATCGTTTACTGCTAAGGCATGCATAAGCTTCTTCTACAAAATGTCCCTGAACCAGATGAAAAGATGAGGAACAATATCATCGTCATCGTCAGTCTACCCTAGATAATCATGACATGGTTGTGTTGGACAAACTCCGTCTGTACTGCCAATTGCCCATTTTTTGGCCCTGTCGATGACATCAGCAACTGCGGGCTTCTCTTATCGATGACGTCGCTGATTTTCTGCCGTCGACTATCGCTGCCCAAGGCACGCTTCACAGGTATGACCGCGTGAGCGGCCGTGTTAAATGAAATCTACGAGTTGGCATAAATGTAGGTAGTTACAATGTCCACAAACAGCTGATTCGTCAATTCGGCTAGCTAAAAATTCTATCCAGTAAGCTCGTCATTGTGATCCTTTCACCCTTTGGACCGAGTCGTAGCTAGCTTCACAGGTTACTTGGGGCAGCTCCCATACAAGTGCCGAATCGGGTTTAGCGACCCTCGATCGCGACGTCACTTCTCGTCCCTCACGGAGAAAGCTCCTAAGCTCCTCCAGAAGCACACGAGCTGATCATCGCCTCCCTTGATTAAATCTAGATTTCATTTACCTTATCGAACTTGGAGGGATCCATCTCGCTGGAGACAAGAGGATAAGAAGACGAGACATTCCAGTCCCCACAACTTAATTCCAGAATCATCGTTCGACTACTACCCTCTCCCCCCCCTCTTAAACTTACTCTCTACACTTTCGTCACCTACGCTCTTCTCGATCCGGTTGTCATTCCCCTTCCCATTGAACTTGTCCACCTTTCCGTGGCATCCCGCTGTGCCTTTACAACACGTCATTGGTGCGCAAAGGAGAAAATCTCTTGAAGTGAACCGCGCCGCTCCGTTTTGAACTCACCTCTACCTCATTACCCTCCCTCGCTGTATATCTTCATTTTGTTCGACTCCTTCTACCTCGTCAGTCTCTCGCTGTCAGGAAAGTATTATCCACCATGCATCGCACGTACTCTATGCGCCAGTCGCGCGTTCCCACGGCGTCGCAGATTGAGAATCCTCCTCCGCCATTGTCTTCTACCAAGACCAACAGATGGCTCGGGAAAGGTGGACTGGGTGCGTTGATTCATGCAGACAGACTTCTTGGAGGTTATAGTCTTACTAACAGTCGTGGTGGTAGGCCATGCCTTTCGCAAGAATGCCGCCGGTGCCTTTGGACCTGATCTCGCTAGGAAGCTGTCTCAGCTAGTTAAGATGGAGAAGAACGTCATGCGTAGCATGGAAATGGTTGCTAGAGAGCGTATGGAAGCTGCTGTATGTCGTCGGCCTGCACACATGTCTTTCAATTGCTGACTCACTCATCCTAGCAACAACTCTCCATCTGGGGTGAAAACTGCGATGAAGATGTCTCTGATGTGACAGACAAGCTTGGCGTCCTTCTCTACGAGATTGGAGAGCTCGAAGATCTTTTTGTCGATCGTTATGATCAGTACCGTGTCACCATCAAGAGCATTCGAAACATTGAAGCTTCCGTTCAGCCTAGCCGGGACCGTAAGTTGGTCTTGTTGCATCCCAAAGAGTCCCGCTCTAACCGTTTCAATAGGCAAGCAGAAGATCACCGATGAGATCGCCAAGCTCAAGTACAAGGACCCTAGCTCTCCTCGCATCGTCGTTCTCGAGCAGGAGCTGGTTCGCGCGGAGGCCGAATCCCTGGTAGCTGAGGCGCAGCTCTCCAACATCACCCGGGAGAAGCTCAAGGCAGCCTTCCAGTACCAGTTCGATGCGCTTCGCGAACACTGCGAGAAGGTCGCTATCATCGCCGGATACGGCAAGCACCTCCTGGACCTCGTCGACGACACCCCCGTAACTCCGGGCGAAACTCGCCAGGCCTACGACGGCTACGAGGCTAGCAAAGCCATCATCCAGGACTGTGAAGAGGCCCTCACCAACTGGGTCCAGTCCAAGGCGGCCGTTAAGCCCAGCCTGTCGACGCGGTCCCGCTCGCTGTCCCAGCGCACCCGCGAGAAGAACCGCGAGGGTCACGACCTGTCCGAGCAGGACCAGCCCATGAGAGGCGATCGGGACTCGTGGGTCCCCGCCGGTCAGCACCCAAGCTATGGGGAAGACGGCGAGGAAGCCTCCAGCACCGTGGACGTCGAGACCCGGGGCCGAGAAGAGACGAGAGAGGCGGTCGCTGCTGCCTAGAGAGGCGGAGATGAGACAGTGTATCGAAAAGAAAAGCATTGTAATGGCGAAACCAAACCTGGTTGTCTATCACCTCTGCTCTTGGGTCTCTGTAGTATAATCCCCTTGCTTTCGTCCTTGAATTTTTTTTTTTTTTTCCTTTTTTCTCCATATACTCCAGTTCGCAGCTCGCTTGGTGACGTTATCTCTCTGGGATCCCGTCCTCGTTTTCTAATGTCTTGTTTCATCTGTTTTATCTACTACCTACGAGGTTACCTCTTACTCCTTAATACTTAGCTCTGGAAGGCGCTCATCTTTTATCCCTTCACTTGTTGGTGTTCAGATGCTGCGCTTTCCACCCTGTCCTGATCATGATGTCATGGTTAGTTTCTAATATACCTTCACTGAACAGAAACGATATTCCAGGTCGGGTGGTAAAGCGCAGCAGCATTTATAAGTATGATGTGGATATATGTGTTGATTCCATTCTAATTTATAATATAATATTACACTAATCATTCCTGCCTTTGATTGCTTTCTGAGATAAAGATTGTCAGCTTTAGGAACGATATCGAGAGTAGTTTAAGTGGTTATATACCTACCTCGGTAGCTAACTGGGCCAGTACATGCATATGATTTTGTTTCAGTCAGCTGTAAGTATGTCGACCCTTGTACGTAGTGACCGATTTACGAAATGCACATTCAACTCCATTGTATATTCGGCAGTGATGGCGGATACGAGACTGAGAGTCAATAGACCTGCTCTCTCCCTACAGCTTGACCCGTCCGAAAACCCATAACTCCGACAATAAACCTAGTAAGATCCTTGATTGGAAAGTGAACGGAAATCAATGAGACCCACAAGACGATAAAAGAAGAGACAGAGACAGAGACAAGAGAGAAATAGAGGGTCGTTACATCGTCATGTGACACAATCCCTGTGGTTGGACAGAGGAGCAGTCTGAAGACAGGAAATGCAAAGAGCCGAAACAAGAGGAAAGAAACAATGAAATGGAATCCCCTGGATGCTTCCGTTCGAGAAAAGAGATGAGTGACTGATGAGGAAGGAAACGACAATTTTCTTTGGTGCTTAATTATCAGTTCCCACGCCCTTCTTTTTTGGCTGGATATGTTTTTGCCCGCTTCCAGACAGCCCATTAGTCTTGCTGCTCAGGGCAGTGCTATCTGTAGGGGCGGAGCCATGTTGCCAGCCGTGGCCTCGTGTTTCTCGGTCAGGAGGTTCTTCAACCAGCGGTTCTCCATCTCCAGCTGCGCTACGCGGGCCTCGAGCGAGGCATTCTTCTCGGTCGTCTCCCGGACGGTCCGTTCGAGAGTCTGCTCGCGCTGCTTTTTCTTCATGCGGAACCGGGCGCTGGCGGCGGTGTTTCGGCGCCGGCGATCCTCTTCGGCGGCGCGGCGCAGTTCCTCTTCCTGACCTAACGCGGAAGCGATGGATTCGCCGGCGACGGGTGTGCTGTACTTGATGTTGCCGAGCTGCCCGTTGGGCGGTGAAATCGACGAGGAAACATCCGACGGGGTCATGGCCCCCGGGGGGTGGCCGAGTTCATCGCCACTATAGATGGGCGGATAGATCGGATGAGCTGGATACGACAGCATCTGGTCTGGCAGCGAGTAGTTGATGGATTTGTCCCCTGGTTGTATGCAGTATGAGTACAAGAGCTTGACCAGACCAAAAGCAGAGGAGCTTAACTGCGTGAGGGCTGGTCACGACGAGAGGGAGAACCGAGCATGATGATGACAAGCAATATCAGAAGGGGAGGCATCAACGTTAAGGCATCAGAACCCTGAGATCGACATGGGGACGACAAGGGAGGAAGACAGTAAAGCGCGGATAAGCGTCCATCAGGGATTGGGGTGCAGACGGTGTCATTGGTGCAACAGATTGCGTGATCATCGTCGAGTAGGATGCGGCCCAGCGGCCCTCTCGAGAGAAAGGGTGGACAATTGGGGTCGAGGCACAAAGAACAGGGAAACAAGTTGGACCAACACACGAAGAGGAAAAAGAAAAGAGAGGGATACAACGCTGCCAATATGAGGTTCAACTGGCCACAGTTCTGTAGCTCCGGGGTTTGTGCCATGCATTCAACGTGGGTACTTTCCATGAGACGCACCCAAGCGGCACACACACACTATCCCTCCAGCCCGGTTGAGCAAACACAAATCAAAGTCAAATTAATGAACAGTAGACAGGGGGTAAGGCAGAAACCAGCCAGGGTACGAAGGATTCTTTTCCCCAGAAAACAATCAATGGCATGAAGCAAGGTTGAGCAGTAGCCCGCGTGCAAACCCGCATGACCAGCAAATCACATAGAGAAACGAACCAGAAGACAAGAAGATGGCGCAACCGATGCAACGTTCAGGCTCATCTGCCGAGACAGGGCTGCAGTAGATAGATAGGAGATGGGTAGGTACGATAGAGATACAAAAAGCTCAGGACTTACCGCGATACGGGTAACCTCTCAAATCGATGGGACTGCGTTCGTCCTCGATGCTATCGTATGAACTCACGGAGATTCCTCCCATTCCTTCAGTCTGGTCGTACTCCATATTCAAGTTCTGAAGCGATGCCAGGGCTGCGGAATCGGCATCAAAGGAATATTGTCGAGACTTCGCCACGGCTGGATCGTGTCGAGAGAGCAAGAAGTTGAAGTTCTCCAGTCTCTCGTAGTTCGAAGCAGCCACTTGACGAGCAAGAGATTGCTGACGCTGCTCGTCAGACATCTTGGGGGGAATACTTTTGTTCTTAACCCTGGTCCTTCTGTTTTTTCTTGGACGTTCTTTTCTTTTCTTTTGCTCCTTTGGAAATTCTTTCTTTTTCCCTTTTTTTTTTTTTACCTCCAATTCTTGCCAAATTGGGTGAAGCAAAGAACAAGGGAGCAGATTAGATTATGACAGATATAGTCTACCCAGAAGAATGTCATGCGCCTCCCCAGAGATCAGCTGAAGAGGGGAAAGCTCGGAAGATGAGGGAGGATATTTTGACAAAGGAGCCCACGAATGATGGAGGTCGAAGATTGGACGATCGGAGGTGAGTTAAGGTATCTAGGTATGCGGCAATCACCCGGCTTTTTGTAAGGATAAAAATAATGCTTCCCAGTTGATCATTGCGTTCGCATAACGCGGGAAATGCAGCCACGTACACAACGGCAGATGGGTTGAGCAACGGGAAAAAAAGAAGGACTGGGATGGATTGAGGAGAGTAACTAAGTAAGGTAAGACACCGGATGAAGAGGACGGTGGTCCTTCGTTGGATGGTGCTGGAGCTGTCTGTCTATCTCCAAGACTGGCCTGTCCCTAGGCAGGTAACTGAGTCGATAATCTGAGTAATCATCCACAATGGCGCATCTTCATAAAATGAGATGTCGTTGCTTGGGGATCGTCTCAGCCTGCTTGGGGCTAGCCGATGATCTGATAGAATGGAGAAATGTCGTGATCGCCAACGCTGATTCGTCCGTGGACTGCCACCTCGGAAATCAGGAAAGTCGCGCTGGCGAGATGATTTGACTGCAAAATAGGATCAGAAGAGGATGGATGGATCAAGAATATGATGATGAACGATTCTTAAAGATAGATATTGGAGTGGAACCATAGGCTGGGATGGGGAGTACGTATATAAAGCAGAAGGGTGGTGTTCTTGCAGTTCCATGTGTAACCGATAGCGAGATAGACACTTGCCTAGGTAGCTCCCTAGTAAGTTAGTACTTCAGAGCTGACGGAGTCTGCAGTTGGAGCTCTCCCGAGCTGTCGTCCAATGAGGGAAGATTCAGAAGACCAGCCGGAAATGCCAGCAATCGGGGCTTGAAAAAACGAAGGTACGTACCTTTGTCTAGTGTTTCCATTATCATTATTTTTTCTTTCAATTACTGTTCGGATGGGTCTGAGATTCAGTCGATCTCCACTTGACAGACCGTCCCATCATCCAGCGGGACAGAAAAGGAGATAATCAACCTGAGAAACGCGTTGCCCAATGACGTGGTCAGAAAGACTGTCAAGGTTGAACATGAAAATTACCCAGACAATCTGGTAAAATGTGGAGAAATGGAGGAGGATGGAGAGCCAGTTCTTGCCAGTTGCGACGGAGTATCTTGTCCACTATTGTCAGCTTGCCTTGAGAACGCGGAGGCTAGGTCTCTCCTGAGTCCTGAATCTCTAGACTTTATCCCTGTTATTCCCTCCTCTTCATCTTTTCCGGGCACTAATCCACCACAGCGGGACTGGCAGATACTAGGTACTATCTAAGAATTACGGAGTGAGCTGACCGGCCTGCCCTCTATACCAGTCAGCCACGATCCTGCGAAATATACGTACCCTGATTCCCTCCAAGCCAGTCAATTCAGACTATCCCTCCTTTCTAGACCGCATCTTTGACAAGAGTCCGCCGAGCTCTTAACTCCGAGGCTTAATGTGCGAAGCTTGTTCGGTCCATGGACTGTGACCACTGAATGATAGGTATACTGTCTCTGCCCACGTGTTCTGGAACCACGACTGGCAACGTGACATGTCCTATGTGGAGCCATTACGAGCAGGCTATGACTGTCACCGCCGTCTCGGGCAAGAGTTGAGATGCGGAGTGAGCTCCCCAGATAGTGAGGAGATCTTGCTACTTGCTACAACGGCTGGTCTTGGCTGTAGTCCGAAAAATTTATGCTGCGCTTGGCCTCTGGTCAATGGCTATAGCAATAATGAGGGCACGAGATGCAATCGACATCTGCACACCACAGTACAAATGCTAGGTATAAGTGTCATCAGTTTCGTTCGTTTGGACATTTTTCTCTATGCATCCGCCATGTTCTACACTAGACATAGAATCACATAGGTACATTACCTCCCCAGCACGACCAGCCGGGACAATTATGCTAGTTGATATCAAGACAATCTAAAACTCCTGACTTTCATCACCGGCAATGATGACGTTGTTGATCTGTTCTCAGTCAGTCTGGGCACACGCGGCAGTTACACATGGGTCCGAATTCGTACCTTAAGAACCATGCGGCAGAGCTGAGTAGCCAGCAAAAGTTGCTGGCGCTTGCCGATCAGAGGATCAATGACAAAGTGCTCTTTCATATCTGTTATGCAAATGTAAGCATAGACCTTCTTGCCAATCAAAATATCAAATACATACCGTTGTTGCCAGTCAACATGCAGTCGACACCCAACCGGGAGTTCTTCTCCCTAACCTGGCGCGACTTGATCGCCGCAAGTGTCTCGATCGGGCTCAGACCCGAATTCTCGGCCAATGCCAAGGGCACCGCATCGAGCGCATCGGCAAACGCGCGCATGGCGTATTGCTCAATGCCGGGGCTCTGGAATTCCACGAGTCAGTTGCTGTACAGAAACATGAGTTCCAAGACTACTTACCTTCACAGCAGCTTCCTCCACGGCGAGAGAGCAAGCAATTTCAGCAGCACCACCACCATATACAACCCGGTTATCTCTGACGAGGTTTCGGACGACACAGAGGGCATCGTGTAGCGAGCGCTTGGCTTCATCAATGATCTAGGAGACGGGTCAGTCATGTCTGTCTTTCACACTGTACAAGTCCGACGAACCATCTTGTTGCTTCCCCGTACGAAAATTGTAACGGCACGGCTGTTGGCACACTCTTCAATGACAAGCATCTTCTCCCGAGTGGTACCGAATGTCATCTCCCGCACGCGACCTGCGGTTCCCAGTTTCTCCGGGCTCAGGTCCTCAAAACGAGGGACAATCCGTCCATTCGTAGCAATGGCAATGAGTTCAATTTCGGGACCACCGACCCACCGGACGGCAGGAAGCTTGTTCTGGAGTAGAAGGTGGTTTGCTTCGTCGTCGAAACCCCACTGGCAGATCACCAGGTTGGCGCCCGAGTCTTTCAAGTGCTGGATCATCTCTGTGAACTTCTCTCGTTCGTAGTCTTGCAGCTTCTTGAACTCTTCGACGGATGTGATGTCGAGCTTGTGCTTCGTCTTCGGCTTGGGGGGCTCGAACGGGCAGGTCAAGATCGCCAGCTTGGCATCTGTAACCTCGTCGGGCATCTGGGGGTGAGAGAAATCCTTATCCACAATAACACCTTTGACGAGGAGCGAGTCCTCCAGAGCACCGCCAACCTTTCCGTCTACCTTGATCAGTTCGAAATCAACATCCTTGCGCTCGAGATCCGCAACTGAAAGCACCGCATCGACGGCGATCTTGGCGAATTGGTCGTGAGATTTCGAGACACTAGAGCAGAGTCAGTTATCAATCATTCAAACGTATAGAGGCGGTGTCAAGCGAGTTGTACATTTTGCTACCAAGACTGGTCTTCGCAACCTTGAGTAGGTTCTCGGTATCTTCTTTGGTGAAGGGGATCTCGTCGCTAATCTCGTCGAGCTGAGCAACAGCAATCTCACAAGCCTGGTCGTATCCGTCCGCAATACGAATGGGGTGGATTCCCTTGTCGATCAGCTCGGCCGCCTGCTCGAGCATAGCCGCGGCCAGGACAACGACACCGGTTGTACCGTCACCGATCTCCTCGTCCTGAGACTTTGAGAGCTCTACCAAGAGCTTGGCAACGTTGTTTGTAATTTCCATCTATGGACAGTCGCAAGTCAGTGACACGCCGAATCGATGATTACGGAGGTGGTTGAAGAACGGACCTGGGAAAGGATAGTTGCGCCATCGTTGGTAACCGTGATATCACCATCCGGGGAGATCAGAATCTTGTCAAGACCGCGGGGACCCTATAATGATTCTTAGATGCCGTTCCGATTTTCTTAAAACCTCCGGACCATACCAAAGAAGTCTTCACGATGTTGGCGACGGTCTTGGCAGCGACAATGTGTGATTTCACGGCCTCGGTGCCGTGCTGTCTCTTCTTCTTTCCCTGACTATGCAAGTAGATTTGTATCAGTGTCTGGTCGCCATTATTCATATTCCACAGAAGTCAAGATAGCCATGGTAGGGGGCTCCCGCAACATACTCTCGGACAATGATGAACGGCCGACCCTGTTCATCTTTCATAATAGAAGCTATTGTAGTAGTTAGTCACAATCCGGAGCGTAAGGAAGTCGGAAGCAGAGGTGAATCAACCTTGAGACAAATCAAGTTCTAGATCAAGGCAGCCAGAGTCAGTACATAGAGTGATTCTCGGTGAGGGGTATCAGAAACATACGCATCGCCATTTTGACGGTCTGCCAGTCGGCAGGATTTTGCAGCTTATAGTTTCAAGAAGAACACCCTGAGACCAAGGTGAGATAATTTCCAAAAGATGTCCCTGAAACAAGCAATGATGAGGCAGGGGGAGGTTCAACGATCTGGACACAACCAGGGTTCACTGATATTGAGGGCACTTTTAGAATTTCTGGAGACGTCCCAGTCGGGCTAGTGAGCTGCTTTCCATATCCGGTATAGCGTGTTTAGTCTACCCACGCGCCTTTCTGCGCGACTCGTCATATCGCAAAGAGCCCGAAGGGCATCTCGAACCCCAACTCACCTCCATTAAGCTATAGCTGGTCGCATCCCGTCATTGTCGCCCATCAATCCTGTCCTTGGGGTCGAGATTGCCGACCGTCGCCAAAACGTTTTCCAAACTTTTCAACCTAGCCAATCCTTTTAGGACAATGCCTCGTGAGTGACGGGTTGACTTGTGCGCCGGAACCTGTCACGTCCAGCTGACTTTGCCTGTAGCCCCCGTTGAGGATCTCTCAGACGACGAGTCCACTGGCGGATCTATCCCGTACAACAACGTTGAACACGACAAAGACATTGCTGGTGACGTGAAGGAGGAAGAGGAGGACGATGAGGACAATGAGGAAGAGGGCCTGTGAGTGCAACGACCGACTTGTCGAGCTGGAACGCGATGCTCATATGTGACAGGTACACCGTTGAAAAGATCATGGGTCATGAGTTCACAAAGGATGTATGTAATTGATCATCGCAATCCCTCCCCCGTCCTCTGCTTCCTTGCGCCCTCAATCAGCGCAATTGGCGACTCTGCGCTAACCAGCAGGTAGGGCAAACTTATGCTTCAAGTGAAGTGGCATGGCTACGACGACCCAGCGGATCAGACATTAGAACCAGAAGAGAACCTCCTGTAAGATTTTCCTCGCCCGTTCCTCCGGAGTTCGAATCTGGTGCTCACAGCCCTTAGGGAGGGCGCAAAGGAGATCTTGGATGAATACTTCAGAGCTCAAGGTGGTCGGCCTGAGAAACCGGTTGCTGTCCGAAAGCGAAAGTCAATGGGAAGCGTTAAGGCGGAGTCTGAAACCCCAGCAGAGCCTAAGCGACGCAGAAAGTCCAAGGCCAATGCAGAGACCAGCACAGAGACGCCAGAGGCAAGCGATGTACCCGATTGGGTGCCCCGATCAAAGAGCTGGGAGAAAGACGTACAGAGAGTTGATACCATCATTCGCGACCCCAAGACGAACTCGTTAATCGCATTTCTGAAATGGACCAATGGCAAAACAGCCAAGGTCTCCATCGAAACATGCTACGAAAAATGCCCAAGACAGGCAAGTTCTGCTTGATGGCTGATAATCCTTGAGCGTACGCTAACTATTAAGGCAGATGCTCAAGTTCTATGAGCAACATCTGTGTGTCATTTCTCCTTAACTCCCCCCATAGATATCAGCTTCTGACTTTGCTTTAGGGTCTTCAAAGACGCTTGAAATTTCGGCTCCATGATTTACATGGCGCCGCCTGGGTTTGCTTTTTCTCGTTTTAGGGCCCAACGGTGTTTCATTGAGGAGTATTCTTTTGACACAGAATGTAAAACGATCACAGCGCATCGCGGGTTGATTATGGAGTTGGCATTCAGCTATGGTTTTTGATTTGTAAGATATATTCCCCTTGGATGTGGTCGCGCAATTCAGCAATACTCTCGTCATGAAAAGGACAAAGCCAGGAGACCATAGTGGAAGTGAGGGGCCTATAAGCTTCCCACTCATGCTGCTTTTTCCGTCCACTATTGGTCAAATTCGTTCGTAACTCATGCGACAATCTTGTCATCTCTCGCCTGCACAATTGCAACCTTTCCTATCGTACATCCCGCTTGTCGGTTGGAAACATTTCACACAGTTGACTATCAATCGCCCATGCCTCCTCCAGAAAGGCCTGCGGCCCTGGCCATGCTAAGATAATTCCACCGTGCTTCGAAGGCTTCTGATCCATGCTTCTTCAAGACTCGTTCGATGGCTCGGCTGTTGCCCACTTCCACGCATTCATCATCTTCGGGTGTCCAAACTCCAGGCATATCCTCAGGAATGCCTTTTCCTGCAGCAAGGTATTCTAGAACCTTGTCGGCTAAGTGTGGGTCCATGCTGGTGCACTGCAGAGCCTCAATCACTTGTTCCTCGTTATCTGCCTTGCCTGTTCGCAGACGGTCCTCGATCCATGTGTCGATGTCTTCCTCTTGAGAGGGCTCCTCTTGAGACTCCGGACTTGAGGGAAAGAACGGCAGTTCAAAGAGGAAATTGTCAGGGGCGCTATCTGGATTTTCGCTTGGCTGTTGAGTTTTGTGGGATTGTACCACGGTGGCACCTCCTGTATTCCTTGACTTTGGTTCTTCCTTCCTTTGTTGATCCGTACGTTTCGAAGCTGTATTTACAACTGGCTCGGTAGGAGTGGGATGCTCCTCAAGTACTCTATGACGAGCAGTAGAGACGCTCTTTTCCGGGAGAGTTGCCGGCGTTGGTCTTTTCTTCGGTCGACCATCTGTTCGTTGACCTTCGGTCCGGTCTGGTTCGCCGACCTCAGGACTTCTTTTCCTTTTTCTGGCTTCTGCCCTTTTCGTAGCCACAGGAGCATTCTCAGAACGTCTCTCAGGCGACTTTGTCGGGGCAGCGCTAGGGACCTGGGACTGTCTCATAGTGCTCTCCGGCTGAACGGGAGTCTGACCTGTGGACGCTGGCTCGCCCCCCGGACGTGATTTTCCACGAAGTCTCTTCAAATACCGATCACGGTAAGATTGCCAAGTATGGCGCGGATGCTGAGAGTGGCAAGAAATCGTAAGCGAATAACGAAGTAAAATTCGCATAGGACAAGCCGAGGGAGGTATGGACCTACCTTCTCCGCTAATTGTTTGTAAATCAGGTTACCGCTGATTGGGGCTCTTGGGTCTTTCTCATACGGTTGCATCCAGTCCCATAGCAGCTGGTCATCTTGTAGTGAATATGCAATCTTGTGAGCTCTAGTTGAGATGTGTGTTGCTCCCACAGGTCGGGCTGCGGAAGGTCCAGCTCTGTAAGCTTCCAGGTCTGCCAGTTCTCCTCTCCGGACAGAGTCTTCCACAAATTTAAAGGAGTATCTGAAGTTCTCAGCTTACTTTCATAAGAAACAACGGACAAATTGGTAAAACATACGTGTCAGATGGGAGATTCTTCCTTGTATGATCTACCAATTTGATATCTGCATCTTTCTCTTGAAGCCTTACAATACCTCCATTGATCTAGGGTACTGTCAGCTTAGAGTAGAAGAGCACAAACGCATAGAAACATACCTCAATCAACTCTTTGAATCTGCTTCTTTGAGGAATGTTGTGAGACAACCAGAACTGTTTCCCATTGAAGAGAAGGCTGCTGTTACTGTTCCCGCCGCCATCATCGCCCTCCACATTACGTCCTGTCATGATTAATCTAGTCCATCTGCCTTCGAAAAATAGTTAAATGGATTTCTTCCCTCTTCTTCCCTCAGTTGCCGTCGCGGGCTACTTTACACAACACGTAATCACGTGTTCGCGCGTCGAAAGTTTAATTCTTGGTGCTGTAAGGACACTGCGACCATGCACCTCGACTTTGGTTTCAGGGAATAGGTTCGAAGAAGAAATCAAAGACCGGCTTCCATCAGATTGAACCATTCACGGCAGCACCACGATCATGACAACACTTCTTCATTCCTCTTCGGGTAGTGGAAGTCACGTGCATTGGGTGGTAACAATGACTTGGCGAAGTCCATTAAACTGCTTTTTGCAGGCAGGGAAAAGTCGACCGCCAGATCTTCTAAAACCGGAGTGAAGCTGCAATATAGACTATATCTTTGATAGTCATACAAGCTGCAGGTAGTTCAGTCGGGTATGCTGCTAGACTGACAACGCGGGAGATCACTACCAAGATCCCCTGACGATCTAGGTTATCATGGGGCCCCTGAGGACGGTGGCTATCGCCATCCTTGGAGTCTCTGCATTTACTTTTGTGGCCCTGTTCGGAAGGCTTCCTGCTCTTAGGTGAGAGGAAAATCATTTGTACTGGCCATCGCTGACGAATAGTGCGTGTAGGAAAACCCCCATTGGATTACTCCATAGGATCATTTGTATACACATTCCTAATGTGCTATTATATTTGGATTCTCATCTACTGGGGGCAGACTGTCGTACTGCTGGAACCGGACCGGTACTTATGTATTGCACGAAAACCATCCGCTCGTACTTGTAAGTTTTTAGCTGTTGCAGACACGCTTTCTTCTCATCGATTAACTCATCGCAGATCTTCTTCCTTTCCCTTCTCATAGCGGGAGAATGTATGTTTATTCCGAGCGCGTGGCCTAGAATCTCAACATTTCATCATCTCTGCATTCCAGCCCTCACGCTTCTTCCATACGTCTTTCTGTACGCTAGCGTTGTCACCAAGTCGTATATCACTCACGAAAACCACGAGGATGAGATGGCACGGTATCCATATGATCGAGTGATTTTTCATCCAGGTCATCGTTGCCGTACGTGTGATTTCCTGAAACCGGCGCGAAGTAAGCACTGCAGTTTCTGCAAAGCTTGTGTTTCGCGGCACGATCATCACTGCGTATGGCTGACCAACTGCGTTGGTCGGAACAACTACCATTACTTCTTATCTTTGTTACTATCCTTATCGGTGATGTTGGCATACGGGTCATGCCTTGGCTTCTCTCTTGTGTCGCAAACGCTAGAGGGACTCATACCATCGAGCTCGCCGTTACGATCGAAACCACAAGATTGGACAACCTGGCTCAATGTCTGGGCGATAGCTATTGCTTCTGATATTCGTGTTGGTGCCGTCGCCATGCTAACAGCCATGACAGCACCATTGGCTATGGCCTTTCTACTCTATCACACCTACCTCATCTGGGCTGGCATGACCACAAATGAGAGCGCAAAATGGTCAGACTGGAAAGAGGATGTAGCAGATGGCCTGGTATTTAAGTCCACCAGAAGCGAGATTTATGGGAACCAATTCCACTCTGATGAGGACACTCCGGCCCAAAGAACCTGGCCAGTGAGCAGTGACCAGATCCTAGTAATCACCGACGGCGAGCCCCCCAAGGAGGGCTTCCAGCTCTGCTCACGGTCGAATGAAATTCTTCATAAGGATGATCCGCAGGCGCCAGTTGACACAAGATGGATTGAAGTGAACAGTATGCGGGAGATTGACAATATCTACGACTTGGGATTTTGGGACAATCTACGGGAGGTTTTCCATATGCCTATCAGACGCCGCGTATAATTCTCTTCCGTGATCACTTTAGTTCTTGTACATACTCATAAAATGATCGTTTATAACGCTGTCAGCCCATTCTTGTATAGAAATTCGCTCTCATGTGGGCTTACCAAAAAGGGTAGGCGGGACACTTGATCGGCGGAACCGGAAAAATTGCCTTGTCACTATTTCTTCTTCCCCATTTATCCATTTATCGTCGCCATCAACACTCTACTACATTGATTTGGCAGTATTTTCTGGCACTAATCTCACGTCGGTCCAGTCCATTCTCGCCTGATAACTGCGGGCAACCGTCAAGATGGCAGACCGACCAGCATCAGAAACTAAACCAAAATGCACCCCAGCTGAGCTCATGTTGAAGGTCATCCTGACGGGAACTTTGAGCCACTACGAGACTCGTGGGATGATTGACGATAAACGCTTGGAGCATATGCTATCTGCTGGGAAACAGATCCTTTACAAAACACATCAGGAGAGCGACGTCAGGTATGATTTATTTGGTAATCTCGGACTGCGAAACGTTGTCTGACTGCTTCACTTACAACAGACACAATTTGGGCTTATCGCCGGACATTTGGCAAGGCTTTACGGATGTACTGACGAAGGCGATACCGGTTCTGGAATCACAATCATTTGCTTGGAAGAGCCCTCCGTCCGCGAACTACGAACACTCATCCTCGAATCTCATTGCATACAACTACTTCTCCCTCGTCAAAGACATCGAGCGCTTGAACGACCTGTGCACTATAGCTCGGAACCTTCTCGCCACAACTAAGAAAGCGCAGAATATTGCGGCGGAGAAAGGTTTTGATCAAAGGATTTTGGCGCTGGTGGATACTTGTGTGAGAGTCACAGCGCGGGGGTTTGACGGAGAGACAAATGCGAGGAACGAGGAGCGCTGGCAAAAAGTGGTCAATCTATATAAGCGATTATTGATCACATGTCTTCAATTCCTGCACAATTTTATCATGCATAATGAGCAGCGGAAAATGGTCTTGTGGTTAGATCTGTTCGGCTACCATTCGACTGGCGACTCCAATATCATTCAACCTAGAGAGCCGCTTGATCAGGCTAACGCTCAGGCTGAGGGGGTGGCACCAATCGTCAAGATTGGCGAGAGGATTGTCAACCCCCCGATCAGGGCTCTATACGATCAGACCGCGGAAGATTTGTTACTGGAAACCATCTCGAATTTCCCACGGGAGCCCGCGACAATCAAAGAAGAAGCAGCCATGCTACTCCTCGCCAACATCAAAGATCACATGGAGAAACTTCTTGGGCGAGATCTTACGGCCATTCAAGAAATGGGCAAGGACCCGGAGCAGGTGAAGGAGATTCGAGCCGCCTTGACTGCTATTCTTGGAGCCAAGGTGGATGGTTGGTCAGATCTCCAGGATAGAGCCAGAGACCTTCCACCTGCACTCCCCGAAGACGAGCCGCCGAGGAAAAAGGCCATCCTGACGATAGACCGCAGCCAAACCGCCGGTTTTCCTCGCATTTGCTGGGCTGACTTACCCGACCTCAACGAATACGGCGCACTGGCAGCAGGCGATGCACCAATAACGGAGGAAGACACAAGCATGCCCCGATCTGCTCAATCTGCGGCCGAGACCTTGCAAGAAGCCAAGGATGAGTTGATGGCTCGCCTGCAGGAATCATCCCAGATTGCTGATCATGGCGACCAAGATTATGATGCTGGCGATGCAGGGACAGTTGGCGATGACGATTCGCACAGCCTGGAAGCCGTTGCTGACGGAAGCATGGAAGAGGAGGAGGAGGAAGAAGACGACGAGGACGATGAAGACTACCGAGGTCGACCTGGCGATCAGCAGCGTGGCCTGCTGACCGACATCCCTCTTGTTCTAGGGCCCGCGGAAATTGAAGCTCTTCCGATGATCATTCAGGCCGGTATTGTGGACAGCTTCGGACTCAAGGGTGGCGAGCGCACAGGTTCGAGAAACATGCAAGCTCTCAGATGCCACATCCTTCTCACCCAGGAAACTGGTCGAAATCTGTTGCGGGAGTTATTGATCTTCATCGCCGCCTGGGACCTCCCTGATGATGAGCTATATTTCAAGATGATGGTACAGATTATGGATGCAGTTCTGAAGAACGGGCTGATGTCTCACGCCTACTCTGACTTCGGGCAGCCAAAGGACATCATCTCTCCCGCTCAGGCCGTCGTGGTCAAGATCTTGACGCACATTTTCAGAGCAAAGTACTCTCCCGCCTCGGTTACAGGCGCAACTCAGCAGAGCGCCACGAAGAACCCGGCGCCTCTTTCTAGAGTTGATATCCTCACGGTTCGCTACATATTTACTATCTTCCGTGGGAACATAATCCCCGAAACCTGCGCCTTGATCTACCTTCAAGGGCAAATCAGGGCGGGACGAGCCCTGCCAGAAGATTTCCCACTGAATTTGTGGGACATGGAACGAGTCTACGAGGGTGTCTACCAGTTTTTGGAGTTCTTTGCTGTGCTTACAGAAAATAACGACTGGAAGAACCTGCTTGTCAAGTGGGAGATTGTTTATGATCTGGTGACGCTGATCAAGGAACTTGAAGCCAGCATCCCCAAGGGCCAACTGAGTTCCCTGTCTCTTGGCCGCAACAGCCCTTCCAAAGAAGCACATCAAGAAGGCGCAGCTGCAGGGCCTGTGGCTGTTGAGAGACCATATGACCCTGGTGACCCTGACCCGGCGGAAAACGGCGGTGGCAGCACCGGGTCCAGGGCCGAATCGCCCCCTATCACCGAGGATCCTTCCGAATTTGAGTGGAGGAATCTCAAGAAGCTCGTCGTGCTCGTTCTCTCGTCTCTGGTTTGGAAGTGTCCCGAGGTCCAGGATCAGATTCGCCGATACGGCGGTGTCGAGACTATTTTGTCTTGTACCAATTTTGATGCTCACAACCCGTACATCAAGGAACACGCTGTTATGTGTCTCAAGTTCCTGCTCGAAGGGAATCGGGAGAACCAGAAGCTGGTCGAAGCGCTCGAAGCTCGGGAGGTGGTCAGGGATGAGAATGGGCTGTTGGAGAGAAGTGGCTTTGAGGCCGTGATTGACAAGACCGGCAAGCTGGCCATTCGCCCCAAGGAGGGCCAGCCTTCAGAGAAAAAGTAGGACGGGATAGATACATTGTTATGAGTGATAGACAATATACTAGACAAGATACTCCCCACGCAGGGAATGACATGGCACATGAATACAATAAATGAACATATGAATCGCAACTAGCCATACATACCATCCCACTCTTCCTCATCATCCTCGACAGGTTTCTTCTTACGCGCCTCTGCCTTTTCACGCTCTTGTTTGGCAAAATCCGTCCGATCAAGCGGACACGTCCCCGCAACCGCAACCAGGGCCGGATACACTCCAAATCAAACAAATGCGTAGAATGACACGGCAGTCGCACAACGAGCGGATACTCATCCTCCAAGAACGGGTTATTGCAAATCGGACACGTCTGCGACTCCTTCAACGACGTACGCGGCACCCGGTCGAGCACTAAACCTCTAGTCAGTCCGCGCTCCAAGCCCGCCCTCATGGCAACTCTCAAAACCTACTGTCGCAAAACTCCTCACTCACACCCTCCACCTCCTTAGGCGGCGTATCCGCCTCCCGCAACAACGTCTGAATCATCTGCGACAGGAGATCGTCGCCGTCGCCGCCTTCTCCCCCGGCCGCGGCCGCGGCACCCCCACCCTCCGACTCGCGGCGCATAACCTCCAACGCCTCAGCGAGAGTATAGAACGCGGCGCTTACGTCGCGCGGGACGGGGACGGCATGCGGTCTGGAGCGGTGCTCATCGGGGCTGATTTGAGAAAGGGTCGAGAAGAAGGTTGAGAGGTCGGGGCGGCGGCGGCGGGAGGGCTGTTGGGGGATGGAGGGGTCGGCTGTGTTGTGTTCGACTGTGGGGGTGTATTAGTATGCTTACTGTGTGGATTTGCGCTGGGGGTTGTAAGGTAGGTACCTACCTTCGTATGTGGACATTTTTGGGTGATTTCACTCACTCGCGGGGAGTGAGGGGTTGAAATAGGTGACCCGATTGACTCGATTGTGTGGGGGTGGGTATGTGGTTTCTTCCTGTATCAGTTGATTTCTGTTTATGGAGTAATAGACAGTTGGGAGTGAATCTGCTTTTCTTTGATGTGGACAGTGCAAGGAAGACGATGGAGAAGCTTGCGGAGTTTGGAGGGGGGAGCTCTGGTTATCTATCTTGGCCGGCGCGGAGGCAACAAATCGATACGCGTCTGGCCTGATAGTTTGTGCCTCAGGCTCTATATGCCTATGAAACAGGATCCTGAGGCATCAGCTCTACAATGTATGTGACACCGTATTGTTGGTTTATTTGACAAGTATATACGGAATGCATTGTTGATATGAGAGTCTCAAGTCTTATATCACCAGAGGAACGTTGCGAACCACATATGAACACCTAGTAGTTGAAATCCTCATAGATAACACGCTTCCCTGCCAGCCAAGTCATAACAAAGCCCTTGAGTGAAGGGCCCCACAGAAATACCAGGTATTCCCCAAGGACGTATCCAAGTCTCGCGCCTCCATCCTGCGACGCTCGATCCTCGCTCCCGATGATACAATGGCGTCAAGTTGCTGAGACCCCTGACCATCTTTTGACTTAGAACCTGTGAGAAATAGAGTGGTTGAGCCCGGCAGTTGAGGGAACCGCTGGAATGTGTCGAAGACAAGGCCCACATCGGTCATAGAGATGGACCACACCAGGTGTAGGCGCGAAACATCGATGCCTGGCAGCTGTGCAATAACGGGCGTGATACCAATTCCTCCCGCTATAACTGGAATTGTGCAGTCACCTCCTTGATCGTCTAGCCTAAAGTCGCCACCGAAGCCTTTGAGAGGCACCTCTAAACCAGCCCGCTCGCTAGTCCTGAAGAGGTGGTTGGTTACGTTGCCATGCTTGCGAACTGTGATTTCAAATTCATCCGCGGGCAGTCCATGCCCTGGATACGATGAAATAGTGAATGTCCTGACATAATCATCATTCAGACTCAAAGGATCGTCATCGAGCATATGGGAATAGCCCAGGTCCAACTCCTCCTGAAACGAGAAGGTGGCATACTGGCCTGGAACCCAGGTCCCGATTTTGGATGGATCTGAGATTCGAAAGCGAAAACGACCGATGCTTGGAGTAAGGATCGTTTTTGCAATCATGGTAGCCGTAACAGAGACATCGTCACCAAACTGAGCGGCCCGGTTGACCCTTTCTGTGGCCAGGTAACGTACACTTGGGGTGTATGGAGAGGGCGCGCCTGCAATTCCTCTGAAGGCGAGTGACTTCTCGACGAAGCGAGCGGACGTGACTGTCACTTTGACAGCTAGGTTTGACCGTGGAAGCAGAGCAGCCGCATCTTTGCCAATCAAGATCTCAGTTGTCCCTGTGACATAGAGTGCGTTTCCTGTGTCAAAGTCTGGGAAAACGTATCCTGCGAGAGGAGTCATCTGAAAGTTACCCAGGGTCTGGTATAATCTATTGCCGGAATATTCAGGATATACGAAAACCGAACCATTAGGTCCGTTGCTCATTAGTCGTACAAAGCCTGGAGGCCCGCCGCGGAAATTGGTGTCCATGTCTTCAGTACCATAAGTCGAGGCGACAAACAGGCAGTCCACTCGGCTGAGTAATTCAACTGCAGCTGGTGGTAGCTGGGGGGTGTCAGAAATCAGTTTCGGATCAGGTAGAGCTGGGGTTATCTTCTTCTTATTCAGGTATTTGGGACAGTTGCCTGTCCGCATTTAGCAAAGACGTCTCATAGAACCATAGATACGATCGAACCCCTACCGAGACATCCCTGGATGAACACAGACAGGTGCGCCATTCCTCTTTCGCTTTGACCTTGGCAATCTCGACCCGATTCATGGCTATCAGCGTCCAGTGATCCAGCAATCTTCCTTCCATGAAGTTTCACCCTTTTACGAGTCTCCAGATCGATCGCCAACCCGGCGACAGGCTGGCCAGCGGTCTCTGCGGAAACATTGTCCTCATTCGTGGAGCCTCTTAGTAGCAACTCTGCGACAGGGTCATATCGACTATCCACTGGAGTATTAATGTCGACAGTAGACTGCGAAGCAGGGGCGGCAAAGCCAGGCTCTCCTCCCCACACAGTTGCCCATGGTCGGCCTTCCTGATCTATGGTGCCCAAGGCCAATAAAGGAAACCTCTGTAAGAGGAATGCGGCTCCAGGATAGAGATAAGGGACAGTTGGATTAGGTTTAAAAGGAACTTTGAGCAGAGTCTGCATTTTCCTCTCACCATCATGCCAGGGTAGTGACCCAGCAAGGATGGTAGCCATCTTTGATGCAATGGGTAGCAATCAGAATCTCAAGCGATGTACAATCGAGGCATCCCCAAAGAGATGGTAGCTAGAGCGTCGGCATATTATACCTCAAGTACCAAGCCGACTCGTGTCAGTCAAAGAAGATATTACACTATGCCGGTTGATTTCTAATCTGTAAGCTTCACTTGCTACACGTGCTGTTAGTCACCAGGCGGGGTAAAGTTTCGGGATAATCTCCTGCAGCGATTTATGACTTTTCTAGCAAACTTAAGTCAAAGCTGAGAAGAATGTGGGAAAGAAGAAGACTGAAGTCGAGATTCTCGATACTATCCACAAAAGGCGATTGATGCTCCACGGGGATTGCTTGATAAATGGAGCTGTGCCGCGTCCTCGTGGAGTGTCCAAGCAGATCATTCAGCTTGAAACAAGCCACAAGAAGCGGAGGAAACTGAGGTAACGATCAACGCGCTCGTCGCTCTGGTTCGTCGGATTCAGAGAGAGAGAGAGAAAATTGTTAAAACTGGCTTTCTCAGAATGACTGCCAAGTAAGAACCAGCTCCCAGACGGCATTTGCGTGACAAGAATGTGCAGTCCAATCTAGACTCCCTCGACTGTCGTGACGACGATTCTTTGTTTATCGATAACGTTTAGTCTAGCGTGTTTTCTTTCTTTAGCAACACCCGCAGTGGATCATCGCCAAGGGAGGCATTGCATTGCATCGAACTTGGGGGAGACGCAGCTTTCTCCTTCAGCTGGAATTCTGCTTAAAAGATCGTATTTCGCCTCTCTGGCTGGTCCAGGAAATTTTACGAAACCTGCATTCTGGTCAGTCAGTCTGTTACGGCAATCTCATATTTGTTTATCTCGAGGTAGCCTCAATCAACATCAACAGTGCAGAACACTTGGTATACGTACTTCTCCACAGGCTTTACAGACACTATTTCATACTCGACAATTGATGCTGAAGCGGCTGGACTTTGCCAACACCCCAGCGCTTCCATCCACAACCATAGAGATGCGTTCTAAATCTGTAAAACCGTCTCTCTACCCTCCCTTACCTTTTCATACCATCCGCGCAATTTCCCTCCTCTCGTCAGTAATCGTCGGCATCATCCTCGCCGTGTTTATCTCTCATCTCAAAAGCGGCGGATACAAACTTCCTTGGGCGTTCTTGCTGGTAAGTGCTATGCTCTGTGCCTTGCAGACCACCTCAAAGCCAACCTCACCGTTATCTAGCTCGTCGTCTCCGCATTCCTCTCTATCCTCAATTACATCTTCACCAGCCTCACCCACTGCTGCTATGGCCTCTCGCCACGCCTCTCCCTCCTCTCCAACACCATCCTCCTCATCCTCTGGCTCATCTCCCTCGGCCTCCTGAGCTGGAGCATGTCCCACACCATCCTCACCACCTGCAACGCAACCTACTGGGCCACCTCAACCGGCATCACCGTCTGCCGCACCTACAAGGCTCTCTTCACCTTCACCTGCACCTGCACATTTGCCGCCATCGCCGCAGTCGCACTCGACATCATTATCCACAAGCGCCAGACCCGACTAGGCGAATACGACCCGATGACCAGCAACCCCGACATCAAGCTGCACGAGCGCAACAATAGCGCAATGGCAGACACCAACGTCAGCGTCCCACTCGACGACGAGCGGCACCCGCTCCAGGCTCAGCATCAGCTCCATGACACCCCCTACGCAGATCGGCACGGAATCTCCGATATCCCGGGCCCGGATTATGCGAATCACCCGGCGTACCGGGTGCCGCCGCCTGTGTACGGGCTGAATGCGTCAGCGGAGCATTACCATGCCGACGAGGCGCAAGAGTTCTCGGAGACTGCGCCGGCGAGAAGTCAGCGGGGTGGGCCGCGGGTTCGGTTCAGTGGTGTTGGGCGTCCGGGGTATGGCTATCCTGCGGAACAGACGGCTTATGACCCCGGGTCTTATCGGTGATTTGGTTATCATGTACGACAAGCAGGATCTGACTGCCGGGTTTATGATTTCTGCCATTCTTTGATGTGTTATGACTGGATATATACATGGTTCATTCTGCGATGGGACAAATATCACTGAACAGCGAGCTTTCATTCAAGGCAAAAACAACACGTACTTGAGGAGTTTATCATTTCATGGTCTGTCTGATTTCGAATTATACCAAAATTATCACCGTCGTCTGGCCCAGACGGTCAACCTTTGTCTAAGTTCCAAGAAAATGGTTTAGAGGAGAAAAGGGTATTGATAGAAGAGTCGAGCAGATTACTGGTAACGAGAAATATGTATAATCCATCGAATAGATCCAAAACAGCCTATCTTGAATATCTCGCTACATGATAACCTCGTTGGCAACATCCTGTTTAACCACGTTAGTGTCGTTGAGTAATGCATAAGAATCAAATCAACATACCCGCTTGAGTTCCTTGTATGGCAGACACACACAGTTCTGTACCCGCACCTCATCACCAACAGCGCACTCCTTACCCAGGATGGTGATGCTCTGCACCTTGATGCCATGCTTGATGATGCTGGTGGAGTGGCTTGTCATGGGGATTGGGGTTCCCTCGACACGAGCCCAGGCGCCCACCCGGCTGCTCCAGCCGATAATCGAGTGCATCACGCACGCATCGTGCTTGATCTCTGCATCCTCCAGCACGATCGAGTCCTTGATACGAGCTCCAGCGCCGACAATAACACGGGCACCAATGGAGACGTTGGGCCCCAACTTGGCGGTCGGGTCAACTGTTGCGGTCGGGTGGATGTAGACGGGGGCACGATCGTGGCGGAGGGAGGGGTGAGTTCGTTAGATTGCGCCTGGAAGGCCTTTTGCAGGTACAGTGCGTTCGCGGGACGGCCGAGCCAGCGGTCTTGATCTGTCGCCAGAAATCCTTGGTCTCATGGACGAAGAACCGGTTGCTGTCCGCCAAGTCGGAGAGGATGTCCTGCTCCAGACGGATGACCTCGGTCTTCTCCGCCTCCTCATCGGCGGCAACGAAGGAAGACTCCAGATTTTCCGAGGAAGGGTATGAGAGGAGACGAGGCCGGGTAGTACGGCGCTTGATGGCACTGCGGATGGCGGGGAAAATACACTCGGTAGCAAAGAGGTAGACACCGCAATTGATGAGGTTGGAGATGTGCGATTCCGGCTTTTCGACGTAGTGCAGCACGCGCTTGGTGTGAGCATCGGAGACAATACATCCAAAGTTGGTCGCGGCGTCGTTGCTGACCCGGGTTCCCAGAATCACCGCCTCGGCGTCCTTCTCCTCGAACAGCTTCAGCATCTCACCAAGAGGGAAGGAGCAGCAGACGTCGGCATTCAGGACGAAAATGCGCTCGGGCTTGCCCTTGAGGATGGCATCACGGAAATGATAGAGACCTCCTGCTGTGCCAAGCGCCGTGTATTCACGCAAGTATTGAATTCGGAACTGGGGGAACTCCTTGCTGGAGTCTTTGATGAAATCACGGAAGACCGATTCATCGTAGTAGCCGACCAGGATGACTTCTCGGATATCAGAGATTTTGGCGAAAGCCTTGAGGCAGTGATTGATAATGGGGTGACCGGCAACTTCGAAAAGGGGCTGATCGAGTTCAATGACCATTAGCTACACTCTCTGAGTGAGGGGAAGAGTAAGGAGGGGTTAACCCACCTTGGGAACATCAAGAGACAAAGGCCTGAACCGAGTACCTCTGGAAGGACCTCCGACCTGATCGTGAGCATTGTTAGCCGCACACTAATCATTTGAGACATCGAGGTGCTGTTCTCCCTGCTTCACTTACCAAGATCACAGCCTTGGTGGAGGCCACGGTTGAATGTTCCCGCACTGGAACTTGAAGCATTGAGAATAGCTGAAATGACGGATTGGACTGTGGTGATCAGAGTCTGAGGGAGAATTGGCAATAATGATACTTGGCAGTATGGATAAGTAGATTTGATATTTAACAAAGTAGTAATAGGAGAAAAGACAGTAATTATTATTATGCGTATTATGCTTGGACTGCAGTGATGCCCCCAGATGACCACGCACTCTGTTCCAGGCCCACCACAGGTACCTCGTTTGGTACCTTAGGCACTAACTTTAGGCTGACTAGAACGAGTCGGGAGTAGCGAGGATCCGCATTGGTGAACCACGGGTCACGGGGAGCTTCGATATAGACAGCCACCTGACCGCTTTCGTCCATCTGAGATTCGAGGTCGCTTTCACGGCCAGATATCAGCACCTTTGCCCCTGAAAACATGGATGTCCCTTTGAAAACGCTCAGGGCAATATTCCGTACGCTAATGGGGATAAGCTAATGTGAAACGATGTCTAGTATTCGCGGAGGCAAATCCGTGCTTCAAGTGATTGCTAGCAAAAGCTCAGCAGCATCAATCTTAGCTCTACAAACTGCTTAATGAGACTGATGAATACAGTAAAGTTTATATCAACTTTTGCACTGTCTCTTTATCTTCATCTGCTGAAACTTGACATGTGAGGTGTTTGCAATTGGACATGGTTGTTGATCCATCCGCCTTGGCAACAGAAAGTTGTATATGCCGCACCAAATTTGGCAGTGCAGTATACACTCATTTGGACAGGGAGATTTCTAAGCCTACAACAGCAGCCAAACTTTTTGTACAGACATCATGGCTGTCAGGTCTTCCAATAACTTTGCTTTTTGCTTTACTATAAATCAAGACATCTGTGCTGGATGTACAGTACTGAACTTTCATCTTCCATTCACTTAATGCTTCATTCACTAGGCCCAACAGCTGCCATTTCAAGTGTTACTCCCTCTCAGTCATCTTAATATTTCTTTCATATTCCGCAGACTGCGTGTGCATCTGTCTATCAAAGTGAACACAATACCACCTTTCATTTTCTTTCTCACCTACCTCACACCCTCCCTCACATGCTACAACATCATTCAAGACGAGCATTTCTCCTCAGTTGTAAGTATCGTCATGTCAGATAGCACAGGAACAGGTGAGTAAGGGAGCTCAAGCACGTCTTCATCTCTGACCTGCTGTAGCCACAGGAAACAACACGCCAGTCGTCATGTCCGGCCTACCGTCCACCGAGACAGACGCAATAAATCTTATTGCGCGGGACATGAAGTGTCTTGTCAAGAAGATACAGGACCTCCGTCACATAGGGATCGAAGACAGCCGAATTGCCCTGCCAAAAATATGCGTCATAGGGGATCAAAGCACGGGTAAAAGCTCCCTGATCGAGGGAATGAGTCAAATAAAGGTGCCTCGCAGTGCTGGAACATGCACTCGCTGCCCCATGGAAATAAACCTCTCAGAAAGCGAGTCAAGTCAGGATTGGAATTGCCGCATCTTTCTGTCACGAAAATACATCTTCGACGGCTCCCGGAAGGTCACTAAACTCCCCAAGAAGTCGCAGCCTCTGGGACCATGGATCGAACAAGACCAGGAAGATGAGCACTTTACCGATGTGAAGGATAAAGATGGTGTACAAGAGGCCATTAAGTGGGCCCAGCTTGCCGTTTTGAACCCAGGAAGACCTTCTACTGACTACCAACCCGGAAATAACGGCGACACCGATGAGTCTTACTACCAAGTGAAGTTTTCCCCGAATGTGGTTCGGCTGGACATCTCGGCGCCTAACTTTCCTAATCTCTCCTTCTACGATCTACCTGGTGTCATCAGCCAGGCGGAACACGATCATGAGCGTTACCTTGTTTCACTGGTGGAGAACCTCGTGAGAGAGTACATCTCGCAGGAAAATTGTATTGTGTTATTGGCACTGCCAATGACAGACGACGCCACGAATTCAAGCGCTGCAAAAATTATGCGGGATGTCCATGGCGCCAAAAAAAGAACTCTCGGTGTCCTTACAAAACCTGATCGTATCCAGACGGGCGAATCATATGATCAGTGGGTCGAGATTCTGGAAGGAGACAAATTTGCGCTTGGTCATGGATATTATATCGTCCGCAACAATCCTGACCCGGCCATCGAGCATTCTCGTGCGAGAGAAGAGGAAGCTGCCTTCTTTGCAAAGAGTCCGTGGGCAACAGAACTATCTGCTTACCAGGACAGATTCGGTACCAGACACCTACAAGCAGCGCTTTCAAGTCTTCTTCTGGAGCAGATCCAAGGATGTCTGCCGAGAATAATAGAGCAGATCGACGAGAAAGCCGCGCGCATCGACGCAGAGTTACAAACTCTGCCAGATCCCCCGTCAGCAAATGTCCCATACATCCTTTGCGGCAAATTGAACCATCTCAAAGATCAAATCCGTGCCCATATTGACGGCGGCTCAGCTCAGTATCCCCTCCAGAAGATATGGGGCAACATTGCAAAGGACTTTAAAAGAGCTCTGCTGAAGACCAGGCCGACTGTTCAGCTTCTTGCCCATTCAGACAAGATGGTCATTCCCATTGCGCGTGAAGACGCCGACTCTGACTGCGAAATGACCTCAATACAGCGATCAGTGAGCATGAATGTGAAACGCAAGACCCCAGGCGACAGGCCTACTCCAACTCCAGCGGATCCCAAGCCAGAACAGCCCTCGACTCCGAAGCCCTCAGGTTACTATACCGAGCACTTTAACCGGTTTGATCGTCCCGCACGGATGTTCACCTGGGAAGAAATCAGAGAAATTAATGAGGACTCTTATCGTGCCGGGATTCCCGACCAGACGGACCCCAAAGCCGTGGAAGTCATGAACCAGCTGAGCGTCGAGCACTGGGACGAACCAATGCAAGTGTTCTTGGGGGCTACTCACCAGTTGGTGAGGGACATGTTGATGAGACAACTCAAAGACGTCTTCACGCCGTACTACCAGACGAGTCTCTACCGAGAACTCAAACGTATCATCGACAACTACTTGCAGACACTTCGCAAGGAGCACTTCAGACACGCTCAAGAGAACTACAATATTGAGCATAACAAGCCTTTTACAATGGCGATTTCCGCTCTCGAGCAAGCCACAGAAAACGCGTACAAGTATCTGAAAGCCCGCCGACACGAAGCAAGGTCGCATTGCTTTCTCGATCTTCAAGGCAAAATCCCTCGGGGAGACCCACGCCGCGACGCTGAGATTAAGAAACTCACTGCTGCGGAGCTCGGCCCTGACAGATTCGTTCAGGAGCTCAAAATGATGGCAGTGAGTTTTACCAATGCTGGTGAGGTCGAGTTCAAGTATCTTGCTAATAGTCCTCAGACGACTCGTGGCTACTATGAAATAGCGAGTTCCCGCTTCATCGACTCGATCTGTCAGAGTGTACATACGAAACTTTTCTCCAAATGCCGTGAAGAACTGATTACAGTCATTGAAAACGAACTACGCATCTTCGATGGAAATGGTCTGTTCCCCATCCCAGAAATTTTTAAGTGGCAAACAACTGACGGAGCCCAGTTGTCGAACGCTGCATGGAGTTGATGGCAGAAGATCCCGAACGCCAGCGACGTCGACAGTACTTGTTGAAGGAGAAAGAGAAGGTCCTCAAGGCCCAGGAATGGCTCGCAACCGCTAAGAAGGAAGACGATGCTGTGGATTCTGCAGAGTCTGACCCGGCCGTCAAGTCTCAACCACCCGAGGACTGGTCCAGTTTTTCAGGATTCGGACCGGTAGCTGGCTGATGATCCTGTTTGTTGGTTGTTAGACACGGACTGCAATCGATGTTTTGTGTTTGCTTCATGCTAAGCTATGCATGTCTTTGATGATGCCCATGCCTCCGGTTAGGCAGTATCGTGTTGATCTTGGTTTGAAGTTGAGGTTGGCTTTGTGCTGGTGATAAGGCGGGATGGTTGGAAGCATCGAAGGCGGGGTAACCCAGCCCCACGTCAAAGCCCTATGCCCTAAGCCCCAGTCGAGGAAAACATCACATTTTAGGAGTTACTTGATGGCATGCAATGAACAAAGTGATTCAAAATGCAGTGAGCTTTTTCGAAATGTTAGTGTGTTGTATATCGTAGAAAGATGTAGTACCATACAGCCGTTATCGGTGGTAGAGGTTCAAATCAACAGCCAATGACAGTCGCCGATCCATGAGTCAGGCCCAAAATTCTCTGGCATTTCTCCTCTACCTAACCCACCAAACCCGCCTCTCCTCCTCGATTTCTTGCCATCGAGCTTCTCCTGGCTGTGTTTTTCTCGAACAAGAGTGATAAAAGCTCTATTGATTTAACATGGCAGATTCCAACGCAGTCAACGAGGTTGAGGCCTCCGTGGCCAACCTTTTGCTCGATGAGGTCACGGGCGAGAGAGTCTCCAAGACCGAATTGAAGAAGCGCCAGAAGCTGCGCGAGAGGGAGGCTAAGAAGAAGGAGAAGGAGGCCAATGCTCCTCCTAAGCCTGAGAAGAAGGTCTCCGCTGAGGAGGAAGAGGCTAACTTGACTGCTAACGTATGTTCATTTGCACTCGTTGAGATCCAAGCGGTTACTTGAAGCTGTCGGGTTTCGCTGCTAAAATATTTGCTCCTGTATATAGCAATACTTCGAGATCCGTAGCAAGCGGATCAACAAGCTGCGCGAGACCAAGCAGCCCGACCCCTACCCTCACAAGTTCCAGGTCACCGATGACCTGCGCGAATACCTCAAGACCTACGATGGTCTCGCCAAGGGCGAGCAGAAGCCCGATGTCACCGTCCGTATCGCCGGTAGAATCTACACCAAGCGTTCTTCAGGTTCCAAGCTCTTCTTCTACGATATCCGTGCCGAAGGCGTCAAGGTGCAGGTCGTGTGCCAGGCCCAGAACGCCACCGGGGATGTCGCCTTCGAGGCTCAGCACGAGCACCTGCGCAGAGGAGATATCGTTGGTGTCGTCGGTTTCCCTGGTCGTACCAGCCCCAAGAACCGCGCCGACGGTGAACTTTCTATCTTCGCCACTGAGGTCGTTCTCCTGGCGCCCTGCTTGCACGCCATCCCTTCGGAGCACTACGGTTTCCAGGACAAGGAGCAGCGCTTCCGCCAACGTTACCTGGATCTGATCATGAACGAGAGATCCCGCAATGTCTTCGTCACTCGCTCCAAGATTGTTAGCTACGTGCGCAACTTCTTCGACAGCCGAGACTTCATCGAGGTCGAAACCCCTATGATGAACGCCATCGCCGGTGGTGCTACGGCGAAGCCCTTCGTTACCCACCACAACGATCTTGACATGAACTTGTTCATGCGTGTCGCCCCCGAGCTGTACCTGAAGATGCTGATTGTCGGTGGTCTGGAGCGTGTATATGAGCTTGGTCGTCAGTTCCGTAACGAGGGCATTGACCTGACGCACAACCCCGAGTTCACAACTTGCGAGTTCTACTGGGCTTACGCTGATGTCTACGATGTCATGAACCTGACCGAGGAGCTGATCTCCGGTCTGGTCAAGCACGTTACCGGTGGGTATGAGACCACCTTCCACACTCAATCTGGTGAGGTCTACAATGTCAACTGGAAGGCACCCTGGAGACGGGTAGAGATGATCCCTGCCTTGGAGGAGGCCACTGGCGAGAAGTTCCCTCCTGGAGACCAGCTGCACACCGCCGAAACTGGCGAGTTCCTCAAGCGTGTGCTTAAGAAGACCGGCGTTGAATGCTCGCCTCCCCTGACCAACGCCCGCATGCTCGACAAGCTGGTCGGCGAGTTCATCGAAGAGACCTGCGTCAACCCTACCTTCATCACTGGCCACCCTCAGATGATGTCTCCCCTTGCCAAGTACCACCGCCAGAACGCCGGTCTTTGCGAGCGTTTCGAGGCTTTCGTTTGCAAGAAGGAGATCGTCAACGCATACACCGAGTTGAACGATCCCTTCGACCAGCGTCTCCGTTTCGAGGAGCAGGCCAGACAGAAGGACCAGGGTGATGACGAGGCCCAACTCATCGATGAGAACTTCTGCACAAGTTTGGAGTATGGTCTGCCTCCTACCGGTGGCTGGGGTATGGGTATCGACCGTCTGGTCATGTTCCTCACGGACAACTACAGCATCAAGGAGGTTCTTGCCTTCCCCTTCATGAAGGAAGACAAGACGGCGGCAGAGGTCAAGACTGCTGCCGAGGTTGTCGGTATTGAGCCCAAGCCCGAAGAGGGAATCCGTAAGTTGCACTAATCATATTTAGTTGAACTCTGAACTGGATGGCTAACTGGTCGTTTCTCACAGCTCATAAATAATCGCATGATACTGGAACTGGATGATGGATCTATCGTTGATGACTATGGTTGCATGCTTGATATGAATGTCTATGAGGATACAGTAAGAGTGAAATAAAATTCATACAGTAGATCCCATTTCGCATCTTGACTGGTAGTGAACGTCTCAACAACATGATGTAGGACGAGCATCTCGGACTATGCTTATTGAAGAGTGATCCTCTGAGGATGACTTCTGGGGATTTCTCTCCAATTTCACAAAGGGTTTCCTGCCAGTGCGTACAAAACATCTGGTGTCCATTTTAGTTATTGACGGAGACACCGACAAGCCAATCTCGAGGCCATTATCAGTGATACGGTTGAAAGAAATACCAAAACACGGGTCGTTTGATATCTACTTCGTTGCCGCGATTTCGCTATAGATACTCATGGGCTATATACACGTCACAACTATGATCGATTCAACCTCTATCGTCACCCTCGTATGCTTATTCCCTGCATGTTCTTTGCACCTCTTGCTGTCCTTAATGTCTCATCCTGCAAATCGATCCTCAGGTTAGATTACTCATGATGAAAGTCAAGCAATGCATGCAAGGCTTCCCAGGTATCGTTCAGCGTCTGGGCTGGTTTATATCATAGCAACCCAGAATGAGTCTCGAGGGGGTCTGTCAAGAGTTCTGACATGAAGTCAGTCCTAGTTGGATGCTCTTGAGGGAGTCCCCCATTCCCTGTTTACAATGTGGCTTCATAGGGATGGACTTCAAGTCCTGTTCCAGCGACATCCAGATAGCTCTAAGCCTCCTTTCCTCTACAGCCTGCTTTGTCTGACGAATGACATAGAGGAGATAGCTCTCTTTCTAGGCAAACATTGGATGGCTCCTCCTTTGCCCTGCAGACATCATAGGCAACACATTGCTCCAAACAGATGTGAAGGTGTAGGGACTATTCACTATGCTCGCTTAAGGACCTGCAACAGCTCACAGCGCACACACAGTGAAGAAAGAAGGGAGATAAATTCCTCGCGAGCAAGTGTTCTTCTTGTCACATCACCTTCTCCTCCTCTCGCGTCACTATTATTCTCTCATCCAGGTGCACATAGCCTTCTGTTATCTTAGCTGTCTTCTTTCCTCTTTTCAATCTTCCTCTAAGAAGGAATCAAGTGAAAGGAATTGTTTCTCTTTCAGGGTCAGTCCTAGACCTCATCTCATCAGAGAGAAATAACATATAAAACGGCGGTCGTCTCCAAGATGTCAGAGGGAGGCAACGAACCCGAGGAAGACCCCATCAGTGAGGAACTTTACCAGCTTGAGAGAGAACGCCAGCAGGCGGAGCGTGACCACGACATCAGGGAGGCTCGTTCCAATCGCACTCGGCGTCAGGAAGAGGACGCCCCTTGGCTGAGGATTTCCGTCGGCGAGCGCCCCAATCCTTATTTCAGCGAGCAGAGCTCCAATTTCGACCTGTACTCAGTCAGGGAACCGATCGGTTCTGCCAGGGGACGGATCCCACCTCCCCCGACTGGACCCCCTCCACCATATCCTTACGAGGAAGTTGAGCGTAGCAGAGGTCTCTCGCGTCGTTCGAACTCGAACGGAGAAACTCGCTCCAGGCGCTTCTGGAATCGTCTTCGTCGACCTGAGCGCAGGGCTCCACCTGTGGTACGTTTGTTCTTTCCATCCGCGACTTCACATTCGGTCACTGATATGGCTCAATTTTAGCAGGACAGCGTCCCGCGTCGGATCCCACGTCAGACTGGACAGCAGGCTCCTGCCGCGAGTGACGCCCGTGACCCTCCGCCATACTCTCGTTTTGAGCCCTCTGGACAGAATCACGCAGACGACGATAGTGACTTCGAGGAAATCGCTGCAGTTGTGAGAGCACTCGCCCCCGGCCACGATCGTGCCTTCGACGAATTTTGTCAACTTATGAACGCTGGAAGAGCTGAACGGCTTGCACAGAGCAATCAGCCAGCACCAGCGCAGGACCTTGCAGACGACGACAACGACGGTGACATCAGTCAGTACTTTCAGTTTGTGAGCACTGAACGGCGCCCGGAGAGCAATCAGCCAGCGGCAGCGCAAAATTCCGCAGACAACGACATCTACAGTGACTTCAGCCAGTACTTTCAGCTTGTGGGCTCTGAACAGCATCCAGAGAGCGATCACAACGAGCCAGGTGAAAGTGCAATAGAGGAACTCCAAGGAGACCCCGAGCTCCCCCCATACTCTCCAAACGAAGAATACACAGGACAGCTGGAAGTCGACCCGTGGGATGGACAAGACCCGTGGGACTTCTATCTAGCTGCTATCGAGGCTGGACAAAATCCGCCGGAGGGCCAGCCAAGAACATTCCCTGACCTTCTCGAAGTGCACGACGAGTGGCTCCGCACTATTGAGCGCAATCGTGCCCCGGTCAACAGAGCCGCACCCTGATTGTGTGTAATTCATAGTCCCTTTCTGAGCACATTCTCCAGTTCTGCTGGCACTTGCCAACAAACCCCAATATTTGCCAAACTGTCACTGCCCTCTGCTGTTGTATCATAGGGAAGAATTAAGCCAACCCTCCTTTCCAAGTCCTCTCCACACAGGCTAACAGCCTTCCTGACATCCTTTTCAAACACAGCACAGATTGGCAGCATCCTACGCTGCGTAGAAGCAATGGCGAGAACTTCTTCTGTCAGACGCAGGAGGGATTCATCGCCTCATCATTCCAGACCCCCTCCCCCTCCCCTCCGCCCTCTACTGCATCTGAACAATCCATCGAGACAGAATGGAAGGAGATAGCCTGCCACACGGCGAAATGCGACATGTGTAACACACGCAATGGAACGGGCATGTCCCGTTGCGAGGGATGCGGCTGGCAGGCATGCTACAGATGTATTCTTGCAAACGGGTGCAGTCGCAGGCATCGGGGAAACGGGCGCGTCCATACGGGGACTGTCGACCAGACTCTCATTGTCCAGATGAGGCGCGGCAGGGTGTCAGTCAAGAGGGAAGAGGGTGATGCGGGCCAGTTGAAGAGGAGACAGTCAAGCAATCTCAAGAAAACGAGGAATGAGGAGTCGTCTTCGAAGATACCAAGCTCTGCGGATGATGAGGTCTTGTACGCGGCTCGGAACTTTTTGGCGTTTAGTATTGAAGCCATAGGTTTCGCTATCCAGGAGGACGGCGTTGACCGAGAACATTTACCTGGTGGGGCTGCATCTCGAGACGAGGATGTTGCGAATTTCATGAGTATGACTAGTCGAGAAGTGCATGACTATGCCCAACAGCAAGCCAGTCATGCTCTTCAGGCTTACCTTGAGCGCAGGGCCAGAGAGGCGGATGCTCAGGAGATTGGCACCTCCTCTGTGACTCAAGCAAATATTGACGAAACCACCTCATCGGACGAAACTCAAAGGCCACCGCGTAATCGAGCTGGCCGATGACGAGTCTTGATTACTTGGAGGTACTGGATGGTTCTCTGCGGATATCATCCGCTGGACGGCATCTCTCGTCCCCGAGATCACCGTTTGCGGGTCAAAGAGTGTATGTGTATGGCTCTCAGATTGCCTCTGATACTTCGAGTGGGGCACTGAGGGTAGTTGGGATGCTCTGCGGACTGTGATGATCTCTCAGAATAAGAAATGTAAAGTATGCTCAGACATGGGAGTCACCTGTTGTAGCCTGTAGGGTTTCGTCTACTGGCCCCGCCTGACATAAAAAGTCCTGAAGAGCTGACTCCAAACTTCAAATGGCTCTATTTCCTGGACTAACAATATTGTACATTTTTGAAAGGGGAGATATGCATAATATACAGGGAAATCTAAGAGTCTGTAAGCTACAGGAGCAGATCGTTTGCCTTCAAAACATGTGATCAGTGACAGTATCACAGCTTGTGGGCCGCTTGTGCAGTAGCATTGCGCACCGCTTGGCCACGAGCCTTTGCAGCCATCTGAAGCAACTTCGCCGTCCTAGACGGGTGCCAGATACGGCTGCCCAAGACAAGCACCCAGGTCAAAAGGAAGAGACTGCCTGCTTGGTGAGCAGAGGCAAGAGGAGTAGGGACAAGGTAGAGAAGGGTCGAAATGCCTAGACCGACTTGGACCCAAGCAAATGCAACTACACCGTGTAAGCCCTTCCTGGCGGCAGGGGGAAGCAACCGCTTCATGGTTGGAGAGCGGCGAGAGTAAGCCCACAGGGCCATAATGCTGGTAAACGTGGTCATAGCCATGATACGATGGTCCAGTTGCACAAGAGAAGGATTCTCCAGCATGTTGCGCCACCAGACGTCAGACCGGTCTTCGTGTCGTGAATAACGCTCATCAAACAACTCCGACTTGGGAGGAGCCAGACCATTACCCATGAACGGGAACTCATTGTAGATCAGACCAGCATCCAGGCCGGCAACTAGGGCACCGGACATGGCAGTAGCAAAGACCAGAAGGGCCAGACCGGCAACAGATCGACGGAAGAACTTCAGTTTGGGGTCACGCAGCGAGTCCAGGAGCTTTATTCCAGCTTCGGGGTCAGCCAGGAGCCGATGAGACCGCAGGATAGCAAGACCGTTCCAGAGCATGGCAGTGTAGCAGATAAAGGCAGCGCCAAGATGAGCAGTCAACCGATACTGACTCACGCGGGGGTGGCTGCCTTGCGCAAAGAGGTCTTCCTTGAGTCCGGACTTAACCATCCACCAACCGATGAAGCCTTGGAAGCCGATCAGACCCGCGATGCCTGCTAGACGTAGCGACATGGGCCTGCTGACCTTCTTCTTTGCGACGAAATAGATAGCCGGAAGCACAAATGACAGGCCAACAAAACGACCCCAGAGACGGTGAATCCATTCCATATAGTAGATTGACTTGAACTCGGAGAGATTCATATTCGGGTTCAGCAGCTGATATTCCGGGGAGGCACGGTACTTTGCAAACTCAGACTCCCAGTCTTCTGCATTCATGGGAGGGAGGGATCCGGTGACGGGACGCCATTCTGTAATACTCAAACTATTCAAAAACATGGTCAGCAAGTGTCACTCAGATTGGGATCCATAAAGCAGAACGTACCCTGATTCTGTTAACCTTGTAAGTCCACCAAAGACGACAATACCGAATACACTGGCCGCACTCCCCAGCAGCCAGTAAGCCACAATCTTGTCAGACACTTTGGGAAAGCTGGACTTCGCTTTAGAAGCTCCATACTCCAGCGCACCAGCCACGGCTGACCCAGAGACGGATCTCCGTAGGATAGGCGAGAAAAACTTTGTAGCCGTCACGCGGAGTGCGTTCGGAGCTGCACTGGAGGACCTTTGGCCGAAAGACAGGGCAGCAAACTGCTTGCGAAATGAGGATTTAGTCGCATAGTTCTGGCTCCGTCCGAGGCATTGTCGGCAAGTGAAGAATTCCTTGGAGAACCGGGGCGCGAGGCTCCGGAACATAGGCACCGAGCCTCCCAAAGAAGCCATGGTGATGCCGACAGCAGGGAGAGTCAATGCTGAACTCCCTATATGTACAAAGCCGAGAAGAAAGAATGGAAAATGAGCTTTCAAGACCCTCGAATGATCGTTGTGGACGGAGATCGGAATGGCCGAAATGCCGAATGGCCAATCAGTATTGCATGATTCGATACTCGGATATGAGGAATACTTCAATATAGCAGAACAGTACAGTGCTGGTCCAATTTTCTGGTCACATCGAGATCTTATGAAAGTGATATCATATGGTCAGCATTTAACATAGTTCAAATAAACCTCAGTTTGCTTTATCAATTGCACAGCCAGTAACGGAACTGTTGACACCTGATTTTCCAGGAACCCGTTGTTGACGAGCAACAAGACCATTGCCGTCTTGGGTTTAGCGCCCTTTCTGATAATATCATCATCGCAGCTCGATCTCCATAGTTCAAGAGCTTCAAGTTTGTTCTCGGGCTTAATCAGCTCACCTCGCTTCAGGAAATGTCCTACGCGGTTGAGACCAAAAAGCGAAAGTTTCATCGAGTGCTGGAATCTCTGACCAAGCCATCGACCGCTGAACCCGCTGCCAAAAATACCCCGCAACTCCAACAACAGCTCGCGAGCGTCTTCCCGCAGACCTATCTATCAAGAAGGTCCGGCTGAGCGGCAAAGATGAAAGCGACTTCGCAGCAGTCGGAAGATCGATTCTAAAAGCTCGAGCTAGCTCCAAAGTCTCTTCCGTCTCATCGACAACACGCCCTAGCTTCGTCCCGTGGGACCGCGAACGCTTTTTGGAGAGACTAGAGACATTTCGCCGCGTCGATCGATGGTCTTCAAAACCGGCTGCAATAAGTGAGGTTGAATGGGCCAAAAGAGGGTGGATCTGTACAGATGTTTCGCGGGTGTCGTGTGTCGGAGGCTGTGGCGGCTCAGTGGTGGTCAAATTACCGGACGAACTTGACGAGTTGGACGGATATGACCCCGACAAAGTCCAGGAGAGGAAGGAAGTCCGTAAGTGCATTGAGACATTTGTTGCTTCAATCGCCGTCAGACTGACCATCCGAAGGTGACAAGCTGGTAGAAGAGTATGCGAGTCTGCTGGTCAAAGGGCATGGTGAACATTGTCCTTGGAGGAACAAAGGCTGTGATGGTTGGTCAAGCACATGCTCTCTTGAAGTTTTTATGATTTGTCACTGATTGTTCAAGCTACGATTCATCGACTGCCACTCACCAACACCGATACGGCAATCGCTAGTCTTCAGAAACGGTATTCAAATATTACAAAACTTGCTGATAAGCTACCGGCTGGGGATATCATTCAAACACCCGACTCATTCAATCTAGATGATGTTCTCAAGATATCACCCCGAGAAGGCTTCGAAACCAGCGACGGGTTGGGCTCCACTGAGTCTCAACATCAGCAGCAGGACCAATCGCAAGCCCAATCGCAAGACCAGTCGCAGGAGCAAGAGTCAAACGAAGAAACTGGCGAAAAGAGCTCTCAAGTGACAGTTGAGCAATCAAAGCCTATCAACAGAACCGCCTTTACGCTAGCATTCTTCGGCTGGGATGCAGTTTCGAATGAAACGGCCGGCCTGGTAGGCTGCAGTGCATGTTTTCGCCGATTGGGCCTGTGGATGTACAAGCCGAAGGATAATGGGAGTGCCACTGTCTACGACGCATTGGATGTTGCCAACGAGCATATGGAGTACTGTCCTTGGATCAGCGGAAAGGCTCAAAGCGGGACTGGCAAGTCAACCGAGAAGCAAGCAGACCTGCGAAGCGGATGGGAACTACTTGTTCAAGCACTCAAAGTCAAACACCGCCGGCAGGTCAGGTCATCGGCTTCCATGGACACCCTTCGTGCTGTCTCAGAGACACCTTCTGGTGACTTCCCGGCGACGGACGAGGTGAATGAGGAACAAAAGAAGGCCAGTGATCGAGAGTGGTGGGCGAAACTTCGGCGGATGCGACAGGTTTTGAACGTCAAGTCTCCTCATGCAAAGAAGTCGGTTGCTCCATGATGGTCCGGTTCATTATTCAGCCTGAGCATATGATCTGCTGGCGTTTGCGCATTTCTTCCTATGTCCTATGTCTTTCTTTCGGCTCAACATTAGCTATGCAAGCACGGTGCCATTGGTTCGTCTTTGTATTTTATCCATGTATATACCCAGTTTGTCTTTACTGTACATATTCAATCCAATCGAGGTCTTCACATCTAACTCAATAGCATTTGGAGATGAATTTATCAGCTATAGGTATTATTTGCTGTCTGCTAGACGATCGCGCCGGATGCGGCAAGGGGAACACGACAGGCGCTAGACTTAACCAGGGATACCAGAAGTATGAACAGGACCATCATCGCACGCTGAAAGAGCGTTCTTTCTCGTCCTTTGTCTCTTCAAGATGTTCTTAATTATTATTGTTGTAGACTCTCCAGAATCCCATGTTCGACGACAATCAATAAGCGTGGCGCATCTCCAGTGGCAGCATGTATGATCCAGCCCGGGACAGTTGGGAGGAGCGTGATGGAGACGAAGCTCGGCCTCGCCGGGGTCGCCTCGCCTCCGACCAGCCCCATGCCGGCTTCTCATCTTCGGAGCAGATTCACAGTGCAACTGGGGAAAATAATAACACTACTGAGCTGGTGAGTATTTTTCTGCTTTGTACTTCCGTAAATGCGTTACTCATTGAATGCACCGACTGTTATTCTGGTACTCAATTTGAACAGAATCTGCATGAGCTATTGTCGTTCAATTCTTGATGTCAAGTTCAGCTCACTGTTGCTTTAACACTTCTATCACTGACTTTACTTGAAATGACAGCAACATCCTGGCCCCGGTTCAAAGACTACAGCGTCCGCGGAAGTGCTATATGCGGAGTCACAGCCAGCACAATCAACTCCTCAAACTCGTCCCTCCATCTCAACTCGCTCACAGTCGCCTGTAAATCTCAGCGCAGCGCAGGAGGCTTCATATACACAAACTTTGACATCTACAGCACAGAATTCTCCGAACAAAGCAATTACAGCCATGGAAAACCGTTCCGATTCGGTAACACCTAGGCCCAGAGCAGATCCTTCAGACAAGCCGAAGCGGCCAGACGAGGTCGCTCCGCCTACCGATCAGAATGGATCTCAAGGTGATAAAAAGAGGAAGGTGCCCGCGGAGGAGAACGCATCCGAAAAATCACAGCCTGCCCCAGACCGCCCCGTGTCCAAGCGGAAGCGCATGGAAGAACGACACCAGAAGCTGCGAAAGCGCGGTAGGACACCTCCTTCGGCGTACTCTCGCCGTGACGCAGATGAGAGAGCATCAGCTGCCGATCGCAATGGTTCAACTTACCGATCCACCTCACCACTTCCGCCTCCACGGTCTCCTACTCCAGAGGACCAACCCCGGCAGCGCAAACGGCCCGGTGGTGGAGCTCGGATGGGACTGGTAGACCGGGAGACTTTGCGCCGCAGACAAGAAGAAAGGGACCGTGCGCAGGTTGAAGAGGCGATGCGGGCTTCCCAGGGCCGCGGGGTTGCAGATGTTGTTCGTCAGCACTACAACGCAGTGCCGCAGCGCGGAAGGGAGTGGCGGAAGACGGAAAGTAAGATCAAGGGCCTGCGGAGCTTCAACAACTGGGTCAAGAGTACCCTTATCCAGAAGTTTTCTCCGGACGAGGAATTTCTTGCGCGGTTCAACGGCACCAAGGACTGGGCTGAAGACGGCGGCGTGCCTCCGGTAGAGGAAAAGCGACTTCTTGTGATCGACTTGGGCTGTGGCAAGGGTGGAGACCTAGGGAAGTGGCAGCTGGCTCCTCAGCCAGTTGATTTGTATGTCGGTCTTGACCCGGCAGAGGTATCAATTGTCCAAGCCCGCGAACGCTACAGTGGGATGAAATCCGGACGTGGTAATCGTGGCCGCCGTAATCCCATCTTTCATGCCGAGTTTCAACCCAAGGACTGCTTCGGAGAATGGCTGGGAGATGTCGATATTGTTCAGCAGGTTGGCATTGATGCCAACGTGGGCCCAGGGGGATCTGTCATGAGCTCACGGTGGGGCGGAGGCGGCTTTGACGTGGTAGCATCCATGTTCACTATCCATTACGCCTTTGAAAGTGAAGAAAAAGCGAGGCAGATGCTGCGCAATGTTGCAGGATGTCTGAAGAAGGGAGGCCGATTCCTCGGCGTTTGCCCGAACTCGGACGTGATCAGCGCGCGAGTAGCAGAAATCAATGCGAAGAAGAAGGAGCGGCAGGAGCAAGCGAAGAAGGAGAAGACAGACGAGGCTCCTGAGGACGGCGAGGTGGAAGAGGATGACGGCAAAGTAGAATGGGGGAACCAGATCTACCGAGTCCGATTTCCTGTTGAGACTCCTGAGGATGGGATCTTCCGTCCTCCTTTCGGATGGAAGTACAGCTACTTCATGGAGGAGGCCGTCGAAGAGGTGCCGGAATACGTTGTTCCCTGGGAAGCGTTTCGAGCGTGAGTCTTGGACAACTACTTTTGATGTGCGAGACTAATTTCCTGCAGTCTTACGGAGGATTACAACCTGGAGTTGCAATACCGCAAGCCATTCCTGGATATTTGGCGTGATGAAAAGGATGATCCGGAGCTAGGTCCCTTGAGTGAGCGCATGGGTGTCCGTGATCGAGCCACTGGCGAGCTACTCATGACAGAGGAGGAAAAGGAAGCGGCTAGTGAGTTCTTCTGACCAAGTTGTCTACGAGGCTTGACTGACACGATCTAGGTTTCTATCATGCATTCTGTTTCTACAAGGTGTAGTTGCGGCATACTTGACTCGTAAACTTTTGGGAGGGTATTAAATATTCTATTCGCAAGCTGTAAAATATAACCTATTCGTTGCCCAGAATTTCAGGCACCAAGATGTATATCCTAAACAGGACTAGCGCAAGCGCGTCGCGTCCCTGTAGTGACATCGATCTTATCGGTGGTGGAAATAATCGCATAGACAGCCACTAAGCCAGCACGAACGGCACTGCAACGACCATACCTGAGAAGCTCTAAACCAGACACCATCATGCCATAGCAGCTCAACCTCTATATCACCAGCAACCCTCCCAAGACCAAGACTAGATATAATGTCAGCAACAACCGACACAAGACGCCACCGACATGCATCACGCAACGACCGCACAAGCACCGGCACGAACAGACACTTACAAGCCCACCCCCGAGCTTCAACGCCTCCCTCCCAGCCTACGAGCCGCCCATCGCGCCCCTCAACGCCGCAGGTCACAATGCGATCATCACTCTCCTGAACGCGCCGTCCCTGCGACAGCTGCAAACGCACATCCAGCGCGCCGAGGAGAAACTGACCGATTCGGCGGGGGAGGTCAACGAGCGGCTTACGGATGCGCGGGTGCGGTATCAGAAGGAGAGGGCGCGGAAGCGGAAAAGGGCGAATGGGGAGACGCCTGGTGCGGAGGGTGTCGGTGCAAAGCAGGAGGAGGGGGAGGACGGTGATGATGATGACGATGATGATGATGGGGAGGAGATAAACCGGCTTGCGCGCTTGGAGGAGCAGGTTCAGAGTGTTACGGAGGAATTGGAGGCACGGATGCGGCAGACGATTGATGCGGAGATGAAGCTTGAGGGGTTGAAGGGGGTGCTGGCGGATATGGCCAAGGAAGCGGAGGAGGCTACCGTTGCGGGTGCTGGAGCTAGGGCTACGGGACTACGGAGTCGGCGGACGAGGCGGAGACGAGGCGATGGCGAGGAGGATCAGGACCCCGAAGAGGACGGTGATGAGGACTACGAAGCGACGCCCGAGCCGCAGATGACTGGTATCCCGTTTAGCCGGCGGCTAGATCAGAAGCTGGATGAGGAGTCGGCGCGGTGGACAGGTCAATCTTTGACTCAAAGGTAACGTACTTCATTGCCTAGGGCTGGATGAAGAAATGAAAGAGGGCCGAATTAACAGATACAGATACTCCACGAACAACGCCTATGTCGGCTTCTATCGCATCATCCATGACGCCAGACACCCCGGCGACGACATCCCGCCGCTGCCACATGCCTCCACTTGGTTCGCGCACATGGAAGATCCCACCGCAACTACAACCTCCACAACCGACCAGACGTCGGCCCGACGTACCCGCCAACGCCGGAGCCCCTCGCCCGCAGACTCGGACGAGATCGCCATCGAGCGCGAGCGTATCTCTCTCAAATGCCCCCTCACCCTGCTCCCCTTCCGGGATCCCGTCACCAGCACCAAATGCCCGCATAGTTTCGAGCGCGAGGCCATCACCGATATGATAGCACACAGTTCTACAACCGTCCCTGGGGCCCCGTCACGCGGCCGAAGAAATAATCGGATACGATCCGTCAAGTGTCCTGTCTGCTCGGTGGTGTTGACCGCCGAAGATCTGCGCAGTGATCCCGTCCTGCTACGCAGAGTCCGTCGCGCCGAAGCAGCCTCCCAGCGGGAAGCGGAGGATGACGAGCTGGATGCTGATGGGAACCCCCGGAGGCGACCTCGGGAAGGGCGCAAGAGTGGTATCACTGTTGCAAGCGATGATGACTCGGAAGAGGGGGTGGCATGCATCAGGAGCCAACCGATGCCGCTATTCGGATCAAGCAGGAAAGATTGTCACAGGCTCAAAGTGCGCTGTCAGACGATATGGATGATGACGAGTAGCTCCATGGCTTGCTCTAACGTAGAGTAGTCATCAGTATGATCTACCTATATCTCTTCGCCGGTGCTACGATAGCGAGGTAACCCTTTTTTTGAGTGATATTGAGACTTGAAAGCCATAACGCATAAATACAAGGACACCTTGCAACCACAATGCACCGAGGCAACAGTCCTGCGACGTGCCATGGGGTATATAAATAAGGTACATGCAGAACAAAGCAAAGAAGACAAGAGAGCGTGCGCAATTGCAACTCTCCCCACTGCATCTCATAAGGTAGCCGAAAAGCCTGTCATGCAAATGATTAGACATGAGGCGCGGGAGCTTAAAACAAACATAGGCCAGTTGATCGTCATGTATAGTCCCGCAAGGTATACAACGGACAAAGTCGTGCCTCTGTTGTCAAAGTAAGCAAGAACTCACTTTTGTCGACCATGCTCTCCCAAATTACATCAAGGAATGGCGTCTCTGTGCCTGACAGTGCGAACACCACCCTTGGCATATTTCCCGGTCAAGCATTTCTGACGAATAATCGCATAAAGATAGGATAAGAAAGAGGTCAGATCACGATATATCGTCTGCCTGGAAGCCGCGTTTCACAATAATTCCGCCGATTGAGTTGGATCTCAAATATCATATCCCGCGACTTGGCGAAGACAACGAGTCTTAAGACCTCAGTAGCACAGCCACTGAGCTGTCGAAAAGGAGCCGATTGCTTTACTTGGTGATGAGATTGAGATAATCGGCCACGATAAGCGTCACCATACTAGAGTCGATCAGTGGGGTTAGCGAGAAATGATGGCTGATATTAGCGAGGCGGAGTGGGGACAACTAACGCATGGGGCGCGATCCGCACATAGTAAGTGCCAAATCCGCGGTAGAATCTCAACCAACCCTCCTCACGAGCAACCTTACGAGCGCAGTCGAACAGACCCTTGTACGGAAGCTGGCCAGTCTTGGGGTCCTTTTGTTGCTTCTGCAGTCGAGTCTTGACGAAGTCAAAAGGTAACGAAAGGAAACTGGCAAAGAAACCGGCGATGGCCGAAGCGGCGAAGGTTTGGGTCTGGGTGGAGAGCTGCGTACGCGCTTTCAACTGCGCCTTCGATTCGGCGAAGAAGGCCAATTGACCCAGGTTGAGGGCCATGGCACGCACCACGGTCGGGAAAGCACCTGCCCACAGAGCGGTGACACCCTCGTGCTTCGAGATACGAAACAAAGCGTCAACGACGGAACGGTAGTTGGCACGGGCCTCTGGTGGTTTCAGACCATCAGATTGCATACGGATGAGGGCCAGATCTGCAGGGTTTCCAATCATGGCGGCAATACCGCCAGCAGCCAAGCCGGCTCCTGCGCGCTCGGCGAATCCGACCTTCGTACCGGCAGCTTCAGCACGCTTGTTAAGGGTCTTGCTGAAGGTATCAAAGAAACCCAGACGGGCAGTGGTGTAGACTGCCTGCCGCAGCAAACCAGCTGACAGACCGGTGTAAAGGTCGAGGACTTTTCCAGAGGCAATGATGTTGCGCGCAACGCCAAATGCAGAGGGACGAGGACCAGTACGAACACCCTCACCAGCCAGTTGCAAGCGGACCTTGATCATGTCAATGGGCTGAATGACGACCGTCGCAGTCATGCCCGCGAGACCACCATTTACGAAGGGCAGCGCGGCGCGTGTGTATGGTCGGTGCAAGAAATCCACGGCTGGTTGCGGAGCGGGCTCCTTGACAGTACTGGTGGCCATGTTGATGGTAAAGCGAGATTCGCACCAAAGCTGTGATGGAAATCAGTCAGTCCTTGGGTCTGTTAGGCGTCGCGATATTTTTTGGCAAGACAGCAAGACAGAAGGGAATGCTAGAAAGTAGTCCACTGACCAGGAATCTAGCAAACAAGTTATATATTCTATGCAAATTTGATGTTAGACGATGAATCCAGCCCCAGCAAGATAACAAAGACACAGTTGATCTACAGGGTGACAGCGTCTGCGAGGAGAGGGGATTGTCTCACAGATGACGTATACTCCACCAAAGAAACAGGTGGATGATACACTCACCACGATCAGAAAGCTACGAAGCTGTTGTATATAGTAGAAGACACGAACCAGCAAGCAGAGTTGGAGATCGGAGGTTCGACGAGAATAAACAGGGAGAGCAAAGAGGGGAAAGCAATGATGGATGAACTGTCAAAGCAGCTTGTTGGGCAAGACCAAGTGGAGAGTTTGGGGTGACTGAGGGGAAGGAGGAGAGCTGGAAGAAGCTTCCCGGGAGTCACGAGTCAGATGATAGCGAGGTTACCCGACTGACTGCGAGGTCGCCTTGTTCCTGATGATAGACTGAATTATTCAAGTAGTAAGAGAGTCGAGAGCAAGAGCAAGTTATATCTGTCAAGTCAGAAAAACCGAGAAAAGGTCCCGAACAACCGATGTACGTCCGCGGAGACTGGACGTCAGAAGGGGAGGCCTGAGAGCTTTGAAGAGGCACGGAAGATAGACACGGCTTGGAGGTATAGGCATATATATGGCTATGGCATGGATCTCTGCGTATAGTCCATATGAATTCTGGAGAAATTGCTGCGATCTTCGCTAGAAAGCCATCTCCACATCATCTGGCTTAATCGTGGATACCAAGGATGCTATCCTGTATTGCCATGGAGAGTGTACTATCAGCACGTTCCTGATTTGATGATTCGACCTCATGTCACACCACTAGGGCCTCGGGTAGTCTATGACCATCTAGCCAAGTATCTAGTTGGTACCCTTTGTCTATTATTGTCATGGGCATCTTGTAAGCTGTAACTTAGCTGCAGCATGACGCCGTAGCGAACTTGAAAAATGCGGGGTAAGGTATGCTTGTAGTTCTGTGATCACACAATCATCGCATCCCCATCGCATTCTACAAAACATTTCTGATCACAGCCTGTATAAAATCAATGAGAACTGTTCTCATACAGGTCAGACAAGCAATTTCCCAATCCATCCACGTTGCAGTCTACAGAGTCTACTGAAACTCAGTTGCAGCCGACACCTACACTCCACGTCATGGACCCGAGCGGGGCGCCGGTAACTTTACAGTACGTATGACGGTCAGACCAGTGCGACCCACAAACCTGCCTTAGGGATGTACACTATTCCGCTTTCGGTATCACGAGAACCACCCGGGAACCCGTGTTGTTTCCCGACGCATCCCGATAGCCGGTTGCTTTATGGACTACGGACTATCAAGTTCAGAACAGCGTCCTCGATAATAGGGTGAAGGACAGCTAGCACGGCTGAGACAATGACAAACATAAGCGAAGGGACAGAGGATTCGCGCAATATCATTGAGAATACTGCTGAGTCCCGAGCGAGTGAACCTCAAGACGGAGCAAACGGTTTACACCTCCCTCTGTCCGATATCCCGAGGATAACAGGGCCAACGCTCCGGCTATCTCACTGCAAGGATGAATATTCTTGCTGGCGCTAATCTTGTCGAGTCAAGCAGCTTGACGGACGGGTCCGATCCACACGGCCCACGGGGAACTCATACTATGTGTTAACCGTTTCCCATAGCCAGGCTCCGTTGATGCGGTCCAGATCGGCTACACCGCTGGCTGGGCTTCAGCTAGGGAGGATGTGGTCTAGTGGTTTATTTCAGGAGTCCATCTTCAGGAGAAGGACTCAAGAGTACTGCTAGTTGAGGATCTGGTGTATATTTTTCCGTCAGCTTCCGATGAAATTCCGGGACCCAGTTACGGGTTGGGAATAACTACAGTTTGATATCACAAAGCAACCGAGCAAATCCATACAGCACAACCTATCTAGCTATCCAGAAGACGCCATTCATCATATCTTCACCTAAAGGCACACTGTTATTCCATCCACACGAAGCAGCAGGAGTGCTGTGCTCCGGTGATTCCTCCGAATTCCGGCACTTTCAATCTGAGATAGAACCATCAGCCGCTCAAGGCATGTTGCCTCTCAGTTGGCCAGATGAATACCATGAGATACAAGACAGAGACACTGAAACTATTTCCAGGACCATACAGTCAGGCAGTCGCGAAACTACGTAATCCGGAGTCAATGCCATTCTCCGAGCATCCCTGCCCAACATCTATACGAGTATGCACTCCTATTCGTTGTACAGTGGCTTCCATCCCACTGAACACCAAACAATAACATCCCATCTACATATCCTGGCCTCTAGCATACCATCTAGAATCACCACCTACCAAAATGCCACTAAGATCACCATCTATCCCTTCCAGCGGAAACACATCCGGCAAGTAACATTGCCTGCCACCAACAGCCAACCCTCAGATTCCACCGTAGAGAGCAACACTCCAAGCCCAACTATCTCGTAAGAACTATTATCAGGGGCAGCGGGGACGCAAACGAACCCGGAAAGGAACACGGGAAAACAAGCGGAGATCAATTCGGTAGTTAACCAACTTACAACTTACTGTCCCGATTGACGGAATAGCAGGCAGCTAGGTAGATATTATCTCCACGGCTAGTCTAAGATAGTCCAGACGCAGGGAGACGAATCAACTAATGGCCGATCATTGCTGTAGGGGTTGTCATCTAAGCGGATTTTATTGTGAGACGCAAGGACTCGTTAACTTGGGTACGTGCTGGGTAGCTAGCATGGTTACGTACGTATAGCTGGCAAGGAGTTGCTCGAAATCAAGGTAGGCTACGCTCATGGCTGGTCTCTGTGGATTCTCTGCTTTAGGTAAGGAGGCTTGGACAGCCTGTCCCTACGTTCTAGATTGCTAGATACTCTCCTAGTATGCATGGGACGCTCCATTGGTACACCACCGCGTAAGGTACACCAGACCGTAATATCAGCGGGGAAATTCGCCAATACCCCGAAGCGTCAGTGGTTTGTTGGGAGCCGGACTACAGTGCTCCTGCGCATTATTTATTTGAGAACTTTTCCACTGCCTGGACCTCTTTTTCGATTACAGCCACACTGCACCGGCTACAATGACCAACTCGTGGAACTCAACTTTTGCATTCTAGATAGTACGATAAAGGTATAATCTCCCCAAGGAGGAAGCCAATGGCAGGAATCAGGGCGGAAACGAAATAGCAAAAAGGTTTGATTATCCGACTTGCGTCTTGCAAGCACACACATGATCACATAGCCAATTCATGTCCCAGAAAAAAAAAGAAAAAA